AAAAATGGCTTTTGGCAAAAATGACTATTCGTAAAAATGACATTTCGCAAAAATGTCTTTTCGCAAAAATGACTATTCGCAAAAGTGCAGTTCGGTAAAATGACATTTCGGAAAAATGACATTTGGGGAATAATCATGCGTCCCTATTTCTCTAATGTATGGTGGCGTAAAGCTATCAGTCTCTTTCTGTGAATCAGCAATTTGTGCCTCGACGTTCAACCATATCAAATTTCTTTATTTTTCTTAACAAAATAGAAAATCCCAACAAAAACATCTTTGATGCAAAATATTCCGCCAAGTAAAGCTTTTTGTAATTGTCCAAACAATTACTGAAATAAATGTTTACAAAGTAAAATTTATAACTAAAGTTTTCATATTTATTAATTTTATTAATTTTACTAATTACTAGAGTTGTGCAAAAAGCTCGATCGAGTATTTTTAAGCTTTTCGTTTTTCTAGCAGAGCTGAGCAGAATCAATTCGAACTTGAACCAAATTCCATCCGACACGTGCAGTATTAAACCAAAAATAATTTTGAGCACTTGAATTTTTCGAGCACTCAAATATTTTTGAATAACTAAAAAATTTATAATGCTCGAGTATCGAGCCCGGCTCGAGCTCGACCATGCTATTCGAGCTTTTTGCACACCTCTACTAATTACATTTCCGAATTGAGTCAATGTTTTACGTTATATTTTGAATTGTAACAAATATCTTTATCCAACAAAAAAAAATTGAGCAAAATCGGTTAAGATTTACTCGAGTTATTCGATTTTATCTATAAACAATCAATATTTTGAGAAGTTGAGAAGTTGATCAAGTTGATGTAATTTTTACTGATTTATCAAAGGTTTTTGATTTCGTTAATCATGAATTTATTATATTAAAGTTTAAAGATTTAGAAACCCCAGATAAATTATTAGAATTATTGTTTTCTTATTTAACCCTTGTGTTCATACCCGGACCCGGGTACCCACGACTACACAGTTTTTCATTTTAGTCAAATTAATATTAAAATTTTGTCTCAGCGCTCCAGATCTACGTAACTTATATTAAATAAAAGCAATTTCTTCATTAAACAAATTATTTTGTTTATAAATAAATAAAAAAGTTAGTTTAAAGTTTAGATATGCAGTGACTCGGGAGTTTTTTGGGGTCGCTGATTACGAATATGATAACAGTTTTTAGAAATTCAAAATGGCGGATCCAATATGGCGGACATTTTTAAAATTTCATTACATTCACTTAAAACTTGATACTCGGGTGTTTTGGGGTCACTGATTACGAATCTGATGTTAATTTTACAAAATATTCGTAATCAGCGACCTCAAAAACCCCGAATATGAAAGAAGATCGTCTTCGAAGCTACTGCCTTACTTTCCAGCGTGGCAAAAGTTTGCTTCAATTAGCTAAATATCATCATAACTCTACAGCGTGAAAACTTGCCGCAACTTTATGTTTTGGAAATTCATTAAAAACCTACAGTTTAATTAATGTGAATAAATCTAATTGGAAGAATCTACAGTAAATTTAGAATTAGACGAAGAATTGATTTCTTTGCTTCCAATTTGTGTTTATTTCTATGCTAATCAATCTCCAATGAAGAAAATCCAAGCACCTGTTTTTCTAATTATAGAAATTCGATGGATACACTTTTTATTGAGGTATTCAGAACTACTACACCTGTTTGGATAGTAAATTCTGCAGAAGAACCTCAGTAAATGGTTTCCATTGCCATAGAGACTATTTGGATGATCTCAGTTTATTGTGAGAGACGAGTGCGCTTAAGCGACTTTTACGACTATTTAAAGATAAAATTTATATTATCTACCAATCTTTTACACCATTTATTATTATTAGTTTTATTTCGTTATTAAATTCCCGTTTCGGAGAAAATATTTACAATTATCATTTCTGCTATTGGATCCTTTATTTTTCTCTAAATCTAAAGGATTTAATGATGTTCAAATGAATATTTATTATTGTAATTTTAATATCTATTTTTAATTCCCAAACCTTGTATATTTAGTTAAAAGCCTTTAATTCCGTAATTTAGGGATATCAGAAATCCAAAGAAACAATAACAAAGATCAAGATAACAACCAAAGGTTTCATGACCTGTTCTAATCGTTATCCTTTCAAAAAGTAAGAGTTTTATAACTCATTGTGGGTAAGAATTCCTGAAGTGGGCCCCTATTTTTCATTGGGTCGGTGGATTTTTCTCATTCTTATATGTTTCGATAGCCTATGATGGTATAATAAAAACCTGTAAATAGTTTTCCGAAATTCGAATATTTACCAAAGTTATTCAAGGTCAAAGTTATTTGTAGCGTTTTAGTAAATAGCTAATTACTCGCGATCGGATGAACCGATTTTAATAAAAATTGGAGAAGAGTTTACCTGAAGAATTGTACTTTAGATAAATGATCAAAATTTTAATTAAAAAATAAAATTTGTTTAAATAAATTAACTTTTCAATTTTTGGGGTTAAAAAAAAATTTGTTCTCCATCTTTTTTTTGGATTTTTTTTTAATAATCAAATAGAGAATACTTTTAAGATTTTATTTTAACAATAAAAAAGTGGGATTCTCTATCACTTTAGAAAATATAATATTTTTAGTTACAAATTTTTTTGAAAAGTTAAAGAAATTTGAAGCAAAACAAATGAATGAACTAAACTCGACAATTTTAACCAACCAAGTTTAGTTCATTCATTTGTTTTGCTTCAAATTTCTTTAACTTTTCAAAAAAATTTGTAACTAAAAATATTATATTTTCTAAAATGATAGAGAATCCCACTTTTTTATTGTTAAAATAAAATCTTAAAAGTATTCTCTATTTGATTATTTAAAAAAAATCCAAAAAAAAGATGGAGAACAAATTTTTTTTTAACCCCAAAAATTAAAAAGTTAATTTATTTAAACAAATTATATTTTTTAATTAAAATTTTGATCATTTATCTAAAGTACAATTCTTTAGGTAAACTCTCCTCCAATTTTTATTAAAATCGGTTCATCCGATCGCGAGTAATTAGCTATTTACTAAAACGCTACAAATAACTTTGACCTTGAATAACTTTGGCAAATATTCGAATTTCGGAAAACTATTTACAAGTTTTTATTATGCCATCATAGGCTATCGAAACATATAAGAATGAGAAAAATCCACCGACCCAATGAAAAATAGGGGCCCACTTCAGGAATTCTTACCCTTGTATTATTGTCAAATCTTTCTTTCTTGGTTAATTTTAAAATAAATATTTTCTCACATATTTAGTAGGTTCATTGATTTATCCTCATCCCAAATTAGATTCATTCCTAAAACCAATTTAAAACGAGAAAACAAGAGATATTTAAAAAGGTTTCCTCTTTTTTGACGTAACAATTTTATAACATCTGAAATGAAATATTGCAATGAATGAAAATTTAGAAATTGAAATAAACTGTAAATAAAAATTAATTTAAAAAATTGAAATCAAAGGAAGAATTTAAATTTCAAGTACTCTCATTTTCCTAGACTACCCTTTTGGGTTTTCTTACCAGAATAGAGGAAAACTGATATTACTATACAGAAACATGTAGATGTACAAATGTACCTCGGAAAAGAAAAATCTTAAGTATTCTCCTTGGACGGAGTGAAAGAAAGGGCAAAATTTAACATAGAAAGAAAAATATTACGTACAAAGCGAGAAGAAAAAAGATTACAAATTTAACGAAAAAATAAAAATCTTATGTCATTCTCTTTTTGCATGACAGAGAAAAAAAAGGTGTTAAATTTTAAGATAGAGAGAAATTTTATACTTCTGCCGATAGCCATAGAAAAATAAGAAAAAAAAGTTTTACTTGACAATAGTAAAAGAAAATAGTGTCTCAATCTCATTGTACAGGGAGAGCAATAAAAGCGTTAAGCTTATTTAAAATTTATCTTTCTCTTGAATCTTATAGGTACCTAAGGCCCTATTGTTTCAAAAGTTGGCATCATCTGTAACTATTCTAGTAGTTTATTGTTTGCACTGAGCTTAGAAGAAATAAAAAACTTCTAATTTTAATGATTTTAATTTTTAAAAGTTATATATTTGTATTATTTATATTTTTGAAATGCTTCTTTCTTTCGGATCATAAATAATAATTTTAAGGCTACTGTCGTGAGTTTAAAGAAATGGAACGTAAACGGATAGTAAATAATCAACCGAATATATATTGTAATTTACTTAACTAATATATTAAAAATCAAGAAACTTACCAAGACGGTCCGACAATTACTTCTTGTTCTTGTTCTCATTTTGATGTACAAAAAGTTTAGTTCACATTTTGTGTTAAAAAAAATTGAAGTTAGAACAATGAAAAAGCAAACAAATTATAAAGCAGTTAAACTTGTATTATACGTTTCGCTATTAAAGAATTATCAAAAAATAACCTGGCACTTAAGAGAAGGTTGTAAATAATTAATATATAGACTAATAACAAGATAAAAAGAGTATATATTAATAGTAATAGAATTTTCTTTTTTTAAAAAGTACTAAAAGTTGTTTAAAAAAATTAGTAAATAAATTAAAAGTAATTAACCGTTAAGATGTTCTGCTTATAGAAGAAGGTTCTAAATTTTTTTTAGTGATAGATGCTAATTATTTTTTTTATTATTTAAACATGACTTTTGCCTATATTCTACACAAATTTAAAAATAAAAATAACAGCAGACATCTTAATTTATCTGAATATGTCCTCGTTTCTGTAGAATCATTTTTAGTTCGGAATAAATTATAAAATTTGAGAGGAAAATAGTGAACAAATCTATTGGACAATATAATTATTTATTTCGTATTCTTCGCAACGGTAGGTCAAATTGAACTTAATAATTAAAAAAGGTTTACCAAAATTCGAATATGTATACTACAATAAATATGACAAGATTAATGAGACAAAAATAAACAAAGATCCAATATAGAAGGGTATTTAAATATATTTTATTTGAAGGAGGTAAAGAACTCTGAAAAATAAGTGGTAATAGTATATTTATTTCTTTATTCTAAAACTTTTAAAACTAATTATAATTTTTTATTCCATTATATAATTCATTGTAAGCATGTAATATTGTATTGAATTTAATAAACTTTTTGCAGACGTATGTTGAGTAATTTGAAACAGCTTCCTCTAAACTAAAATGTTTCATTCTATTGTTTAGTGGTATTTTCTACCCTTAGTACCTGTTGAAAGATGAAAGAATGTAAATTAGTTAAGAAATGAAGATTCGAAACATAATTAAATTTAACTTTAGAATTATTGTAGTGAAAATACAATTCCTTTATTCGACTTTATACAGTTTGTAAGCATTACGGCAAACGCACTTTAAATTTTAATAAAAAATTTATAAGTAAATTAATTATTCAATTTACTATTTCGAGCAACCAATTTTTATAAGGTGTCTGGGAAAACTTATTCCATTAAAAATGAAATCAAAGACAGTATAAGTGAAAATTCCCAAAGCAACAAAATTGCCCAAAAAAAATTTTCTATATTACCTTTATTTTTCTTGGAAACATGCTTCTCTGCAATCTTATTTTGCTTTTTCATTGGCTCAGTATTACAAAGTTTATCGCTAGTTGGCTGCTCCTTTGCATTTGTGGAGGATTCTTTATTAACGTCTGAATTATTCTCATTTTTCTTATCACCTGAAACAGCAGACAACACAATTCCAGCATTTGAAATTTTTTCTTGGATAGTACCACGTTTACAGTCGTCAATAAATTCGATGGTTATTTGCTTGATGGTCTTCTTCATAACTGCCTCTATTGCCATAATAGACTTAGCAACTTTATCTGATTTTGTTTCTTTTACATCTTTTTTATCATCATTTCCCGGCTGAGCAAAGAAACCTAATACTTTAGAAAGAAGGCCTGCTTGGTCAGGCATTCTAACCTCCTTATCAACTGCTTCATTTACTAAAATACTATCGTCAGTATTCTTAGTAACGCCACCTGTATGTTTGACTGAAACATTGTCCTTGATTTGGAAATTATTCTCTACACCACTCTTGCAATTCGAAAACATCTTACAAGGGGTTTTCGGAATCCTCACAGTTTCTAAGCTTTTCTTCAACTTAATTTCCTCCGCATTAGTGACAGCTGTTGTAGAGTTAATTTCTTCTCTTTTCTCAATTTCCTTAATAATTTCGACATTCATTTTGTCATCTTTGTTCGGTTTAACAACTTCATTGGCGCTTATAGTTAAGCTGGATTTATCCACATTAGAGACAATAGCCGTTGTTCTACTATCTACTCTCTTCTCTATTTCCTTACTAAAATCTACATTAATCTTTTCATCTTCCTTTGGTTTCGCAACTCCACTGGAACTTGCGTTAATATTTGTGTTCTCACGTTCATAAGTACTTTTGTTGTTTGTAACTGTAGTACTTGATATCTTCTCATTAACTGTATCAAGTGTTACAGTTGGTTCTTCTTCTTTCTTCTTTGGTTCTGGTACTTCACGTGGAGTAGCAGGAGTACTGGGGGATTCTGATGTAATATTTAACTTGGATATCTCTACATCACTGACAGATGTCGTTGCTGTAGTGACTTCCTTCTTCATTACTTCCTTACTAAAGTCCACATTACTCTTTTCATCTTCCTTCGGTTTGGAAACTCCGCTGGAATTTATATTAATATTTGTGTTCTCACGTTCATAAGTACTTTTGTTGTTTGTAACTGTAGTACTTGATATCTTCTCATTAACTGTATCAAGTGTTACAGTTGGTTCTTCTTCTTTCTTCTTTGGTTCTGGTACTTCACATAGAGTAGCAGGACTACTTGGAGAATTTAATGTAATATTCAACTCGGATTTATCCACACTAGTGACAGAAGTCGAGTTTGATCTGACTTCCTTCATCAGTACTTCCTTACTAAAGTCTACATTAATCTTTTCCTCTTCCTTCGGTTTAGCAACTCCACTGGAATTTATATTAATATTTGTGTTCTCACGGTCATATGTACTTTTGTTGTTTGTAACTGTAGTACTTGATATCTTCTCATCTTTTGCTTGAAGAGATGCAGAGGGTTCGACGTCTTTGTTCTTGGCTTCTGGTGAAATAGTTGGCGTTTCAGGATTAATAGCAGAACCTGAGGTAATATTTAACTTGGTTGTCTCTTCATTAGTGACAGTAGTCGTTGTGCTAATTTCTTCTCTCTTATCTACTTCCTGGCTAAAGTTTCTAGTGCAGTTAGATAATTCTGGAGAAGCAAAAATTTCCTTGTCGTCATCTTCTTTGGGTTTGGCAACTCCACTGGTGTTCACATTAATGTTTGTGTTCTCCTGTTTATATTCACTTACGGTGTTTGTTACTGCAGTGGTTGACAATCTCTCATCTTTTACTTGAAGAGATACAGAGGGTTCGACTTCTTTGTTCTTGGCTTCTGGTGAAATAGTTGGCGTTTCAGGATTAATAGCAGAACCTGAGGTAATATTTAACTTGGTTGTCTCTTCATTAGTGACAGTAGTCGTTGTGCTAATTTCTTCTCTCTTTTCTACTTCCTGGCTAAAGTTTACATTCAATTTTTCATCTTCCTTCGGTTTAGCAACTCCAGCTGCGTTAACATTGATATCTGTTTTCTTGTGTTCATATTTACTTTGGCTGTTTGTAAGTTCAACCGTTGAGGATACCTCTCGTTTTTCCTGAATGGATAAAGAAAGTTTGTCTTCATCGATAGTATCACCGGACGCTTTGTTGGTTGTTGTTGTGTATGTCACAGGTTCGTTTCCAGTGCAGTTAGATAATTCTGGAGAAGCAAAAATTTCCTTGTCGTCATCTTCTTTGGGTTTAGCAACTCCACTGGTGTTCACATTAATGTTTGTGTTCTCCTGTTTATATTCACTTACGGTGTTTGTTACTGCAGTGGTTGACAATCTCTCATCTTTTACTTGAAGAGATACAGAGGGTTCGACTTCTGGTGAAATAGTTGGCGTTTCAGGATTAATGGCAGAACTTGAGGTAATATTTAACTTGGTTGTCTCTTCATTAGTGACAGTAGTCGTTGTGCTAATTTCTTCTCTCTTTTCTACTTCCTGGCTAAAGTTTACATTCAATTTTTCATCTTCCTTCGGTTTAGCAACTCCAGCTGCGTTAACATTGATATCTGTTTTCTTGTGTTCATATTTACTTTGGCTGTTTGTAAGTTCAACCGTTGAGGATACCTCTCGTTTTTCCTGAATGGATAAAGAAAGTTTGTCTTCATCGATAGTATCACCGGACGCTTTGTTGGTTGTTGTTGTGTATGTCACAGGTTCGTTTCCAGTGCAGTTAGATAATTCTGGAGAAGCAAAAATTTCCTTGTCGTCATCTTCTTTGGGTTTAGCAACTCCACTGGTGTTCACATTAATGTTTGTGTTCTCCTGTTTATATTCACTTACGGTGTTTGTTACTGCAGTGGTTGACAATCTCTCATCTTTTACTTGAAGAGATACAGAGGGTTCGACTTCTGGTGAAATAGTTGGCGTTTCAGGATTAATGGCAGAACTTGAGGTAATATTTAACTTGGTTGTCTCTTCATTAGTGACAGTAGTCGTTGTGCTAATTTCTTCTCTCTTTTCTACTTCCTGGCTAAAGTTTACATTCAATTTTTCATCTTCCTTCGGTTTAGCAACTCCAGCTGCGTTAACATTGATATCTGTTTTCTTGTGTTCATATTTACTTTGGCTGTTTGTAAGTTCAACCGTTGAGGATACCTCTCGTTCTTCCTGAATGGATAAAGAAAGTTTGTCTTCATCGATAGTATCACCGGACGCTTTGTTGGTTGTTGTTGTGTATGTCACAGGTTCGTTTCCAGTGCAGTTAGATAATTCTGGAGAAGCAAAAATTTCCTTGTCGTCATCTTCTTTGGGTTTGGCAACTCCACTGGTGTTCACATTTATGTTTGTGTTCTCCTGTTTATATTCACTTACGGTGTTTGTTACTGCAGTGGTTGACAATCTCTCATCTTTTACTTGAAGAGATACAGAGGGTTCGACTTCTGGTGAAATAGTTGGCGTTTCAGGATTAATGGCAGAACCTGAGGTAATATTTAACTTGGTTGTCTTTTCATTAGTGACAGTAGTCGTTGTGCTAATTTCTTCTCTCTTATCTACTTCCTGGCTAAAGTTTACATTCACTTTTTCATCTTCCTTCGGTTTAGCAACTCCAGCTGCGTTAACATTGATATCTGTTTTCTTGTGTTCATATTTACTTTGGCTGTTTGTAAGTTCAACCGTTGAGGATACCTCTCGTTCTTCCTGAATGGATAAAGAAAGTTTGTCTTCATCGATAGTATCACCGGACGCTTTGTTGGTTGTTGTTGTGTATGTCACAGGTTCGTTTCCAGTGCAGTTAGATAATTCTGGAGAAGCAAAAATTTCCTTGTCGTCATCTTCTTTGGGTTTGGCAACTCCACTGGTGTTCACATTAATGTTTGTGTTCTCCTGTTTATATTCACTTACGGTGTTTGTTACTGCAGTGGTTGACAATCTCTCATCTTTTACTTGAAGAGATACAGAGGGTTCGACTTCTTTGTTCTTGGCTTCTGGTGAAATAGTTGGCGTTTCAGGATTAATGGCAGAACCTGAGGTAATATTTAACTTGGTTGTCTCTTCATTAGTGACAGTAGTCGTTGTGCTAATTTCTTCTCTCTTTTCTACTTCCTGGCTAAAGTTTACATTCAATTTTTCATCTTCCTTCGGTTTAGCAACTCCAGCTGCGTTAACATTGATATCTGTTTTCTTGTGTTCATATTTACTTTGGCTGTTTGTAAGTTCAACCGTTGAGGATACCTCTCGTTTTTCCTGAATGGATAAAGAAAGTTTGTCTTCATCGATAGTATCACCGGACGCTTTGTTGGTTGTTGTTGTGTATGTCACAGGTTCGTTTCCAGTGCAGTTAGATAATTCTGGAGAAGCAAAAATTTCCTTGTCGTCATCTTCTTTGGGTTTAGCAACTCCACTGGTGTTCACATTAATGTTTGTGTTCTCCTGTTTATATTCACTTACGGTGTTTGTTACTGCAGTGGTTGACAATCTCTCATCTTTTACTTGAAGAGATACAGAGGGTTCGACTTCTGGTGAAATAGTTGGCGTTTCAGGATTAATGGCAGAACTTGAGGTAATATTTAACTTGGTTGTCTCTTCATTAGTGACAGTAGTCGTTGTGCTAATTTCTTCTCTCTTTTCTACTTCCTGGCTAAAGTTTACATTCAATTTTCATCTTCCTTCGGTTTAGCAACTCCAGCTGCGTTAACATTGATATCTGTTTTCTTGTGTTCATATTTACTTTGGCTGTTTGTAAGTTCAACCGTTGAGGATACCTCTCGTTTTTCCTGAATGGATAAAGAAAGTTTGTCTTCATCGATAGTATCACCGGACGCTTTGTTGGTTGTTGTTGTGTATGTCACAGGTTCGTTTCCAGTGCAGTTAGATAATTCTGGAGAAGCAAAAATTTCCTTGTCGTCATCTTCTTTGGGTTTGGCAACTCCACTGGTGTTCACATTTATGTTTGTGTTCTCCTGTTTATATTCACTTACGGTGTTTGTTACTGCAGTGGTTGACAATCTCTCATCTTTTACTTGAAGAGATACAGAGGGTTCGACTTCTGGTGAAATAGTTGGCGTTTCAGGATTAATGGCAGAACCTGAGGTAATATTTAACTTGGTTGTCTCTTCATTAGTGACAGTAGTCGTTGTGCTAATTTCTTCTCTCTTATCTACTTCCTGGCTAAAGTTTACATTCACTTTTTCATCTTCCTTCGGTTTAGCAACTCCAGCTGCGTTAACATTGATATCTGTTTTCTTGTGTTCATATTTACTTTGGCTGTTTGTAAGTTCAACCGTTGAGGATACCTCTCGTTCTTCCTGAATGGATAAAGAAAGTTTGTCTTCATCGATAGTATCACCGGACGCTTTGTTGGTTGTTGTTGTGTATGTCACAGGTTCGTTTCCAGTGCAGTTAGATAATTCTGGAGAAGCAAAAATTTCCTTGTCGTCATCTTCTTTGGGTTTGGCAACTCCACTGGTGTTCACATTTATGTTTGTGTTCTCTTTTTTATATTCACTTACGGTGTTTGTTACTGCAGTGGTTGACAATCTCTCATCTTTTACTTGAAGAGATACAGAGGGTTCGACTTCTGGTGAAATAGTTGGCGTTTCAGGATTAATGGCAGAACTTGAGGTAATATTTAACTTGGTTGTCTCTTCATTAGTGACAGTAGTCGTTGTGCTAATTTCTTCTCTCTTTTCTACTTCCTGGCTAAAGTTTACATTCAATTTTTCATCTTCCTTCGGTTTAGCAACTCCAGCTGCGTTAACATTGATATCTGTTTTCTTGTGTTCATATTTACTTTGGCTGTTTGTAAGTTCAACCGTTGAGGATACCTCTCGTTTTTCCTGAGTGGATAAAGAAAGTTTGTCTTCATCGATAGTATCACCGGACGCTTTGTTGGTTGTTGTTGTGTATGTCACAGGTTCGTTTCCAGTGCAGTTAGATAATTCTGGAGAAGCAAAAATTTCCTTGTCGTCATCTTCTTTGGGTTTGGCAACTCCACTGGTGTTCACATTAATGTTTGTGTTCTCCTGTTTATATTCACTTACGGTGTTTGTTACTGCAGTGGTTGACAATCTCTCATCTTTTACTTGAAGAGATACAGAGGGTTCGACTTCTTTGTTCTTGGCTTCTGGTGAAATAGTTGGCGTTTCAGGATTAATGGCAGAACTTGAGGTAATATTTAACTTGGTTGTCTCTTCATTAGTGACAGTAGTCGTTGTGCTAATTTCTTCTCTCTTTTCTACTTCCTGGCTAAAGTTTACATTCAATTTTTCATCTTCCTTCGGTTTAGCAACTCCAGCTGCGTTAACATTGATATCTGTTTTCTTGTGTTCATATTTACTTTGGCTGTTTGTAAGTTCAACCGTTGAGGATACCTCTCGTTCTTCCTGAATGGATAAAGAAAGTTTGTCTTCATCGATAGTATCACCGGACGCTTTGTTGGTTGTTGTTGTGTATGTCACAGGTTCGTTTCCAGTGCAGTTAGATAATTCTGGAGAAGCAAAAATTTCCTTGTCGTCATCTTCTTTGGGTTTGGCAACTCCACTGGTGTTCACATTTATGTTTGTGTTCTCTTTTTTATATTCACTTACGGTGTTTGTTACTGCAGTGGTTGACAATCTCTCATCTTTTACTTGAAGAGATACAGAGGGTTCGACTTCTGGTGAAATAGTTGGCGTTTCAGGATTAATGGCAGAACTTGAGGTAATATTTAACTTGGTTGTCTCTTCATTAGTGACAGTAGTCGTTGTGCTAATTTCTTCTCTCTTTTCTACTTCCTGGCTAAAGTTTACATTCAATTTTTCATCTTCCTTCGGTTTAGCAACTCCAGCTGCGTTAACATTGATATCTGTTTTCTTGTGTTCATATTTACTTTGGCTGTTTGCAAGTTCAACCGTTGAGGATACCTCTCGTTCTTCCTGAATGGATAAAGAAAGTTTGTCTTCATCGATAGTATCACCGGACGCTTTGTTGGTTGTTGTTGTGTATGTCACAGGTTCGTTTCCAGTGCAGTTAGATAATTCTGGAGAAGCAAAAATTTCCTTGTCGTCATCTTCTTTGGGTTTGGCAACTCCACTGGTGTTCACATTAATGTTTGTGTTCTCCTGTTTATATTCACTTACGGTGTTTGTTACTGCAGTGGTTGACAATCTCTCATCTTTTACTTGAAGAGATACAGAGGGTTCGACTTCTGGTGAAATAGTTGGCGTTTCAGGATTAATGGCAGAACTTGAGGTAATATTTAACTTGGTTGTCTCTTCATTAGTGACAGTAGTCGTTGTGCTAATTTCTTCTCTCTTTTCTACTTCCTGGCTAAAGTTTACATTCAATTTTTCATCTTCCTTCGGTTTAGCAACTCCAGCTGCGTTAACATTGATATCTGTTTTCTTGTGTTCATATTTACTTTGGCTGTTTGTAAGTTCAACCGTTGAGGATACCTCTCGTTCTTCCTGAATGGATAAAGAAAGTTTGTCTTCATCGATAGTATCACCGGACGCTTTGTTGGTTGTTGTTGTGTATGTCACAGGTTCGTTTCCAGTGCAGTTAGATAATTCTGGAGAAGCAAAAATTTCCTTGTCGTCATCTTCTTTGGGTTTGGCAACTCCACTGGTGTTCACATTTATGTTTGTGTTCTCTTTTTTATATTCACTTACGGTGTTTGTTACTGCAGTGGTTGACAATCTCTCATCTTTTACTTGAAGAGATACAGAAGGTTCGACTTCTGGTGAAATAGTTGGCGTTTCAGGATTAATGGCAGAACTTGAGGTAATATTTAACTTGGTTGTCTCTTCATTAGTGACAGTAGTCGTTGTGCTAATTTCTTCTCTCTTTTCTACTTCCTGGCTAAAGTTTACATTCAATTTTTCATCTTCCTTCGGTTTAGCAACTCCAGCTGCGTTAACATTGATATCTGTTTTCTTGTGTTCATATTTACTTTGGCTGTTTGTAAGTTCAACCGTTGAGGATACCTCTCGTTTTTCCTGAGTGGATAAAGAAAGTTTGTCTTCATCGATAGTATCACCGGACGCTTTGTTGGTTGTTGTTGTGTATGTCACAGGTTCGTTTCCAGTGCAGTTAGATAATTCTGGAGAAGCAAAAATTTCCTTGTCGTCATCTTCTTTGGGTTTGGCAACTCCACTGGTGTTCACATTAATGTTTGTGTTCTCTTTTTTATATTCACTTACGGTGTTTGTTACTGCAGTGGTTGACAATCTCTCATCTTTTACTTGAAGAGATACAGAGGGTTCGACTTCTGGTGAAATAGTTGGCGTTTCAGGATTAATGGCAGAACTTGAGGTAATATTTAACTTGGTTGTCTCTTCATTAGTGACAGTAGTCGTTGTGCTAATTTCTTCTCTCTTTTCTACTTCCTGGCTAAAGTTTACATTCAATTTTTCATCTTCCTTCGGTTTAGCAACTCCAGCTGCGTTAACATTGATATCTGTTTTCTTGTGTTCATATTTACTTTGGCTGTTTGTAAGTTCAACCGTTGAGGATACCTCTCGTTCTTCCTGAATGGATAAAGAAAGTTTGTCTTCATCGATAGTATCACCGGACGCTTTGTTGGTTGTTGTTGTGTATGTCACAGGTTCGTTTCCAGTGCAGTTAGATAATTCTGGAGAAGCAAAAATTTCCTTGTCGTCATCTTCTTTGGGTTTGGCAACTCCACTGGTGTTCACATTAATGTTTGTGTTCTCCTGTTTATATTCACTTACGGTGTTTGTTACTGCAGTGGTTGACAATCTCTCATCTTTTACTTGAAGAGATACAGAGGGTTCGACTTCTTTGTTCTTGGCTTCTGGTGAAATAGTTGGCGTTTCAGGATTAATGGCAGAACCTGAGGTAATATTTAACTTGGTTGTCTCTTCATTAGTGACAGTAGTCGTTGTGCTAATTTCTTCTCTCTTTTCTACTTCCTGGCTAAAGTTTACATTCAATTTTTCATCTTCCTTCGGTTTAGCAACTCCAGCTGCGTTAACATTGATATCTGTTTTCTTGTGTTCATATTTACTTTGGCTGTTTGTAAGTTCAACCGTTGAGGATACCTCTCGTTCTTCCTGAATGGATAAAGAAAGTTTGTCTTCATCGATAGTATCACCGGACGCTTTGTTGGTTGTTGTTGTGTATGTCACAGGTTCGTTTCCAGTGCAGTTAGATAATTCTGGAGAAGCAAAAATTTCCTTGTCGTCATCTTCTTTGGGTTTGGCAACTCCACTGGTGTTCACATTTATGTTTGTGTTCTCTTTTTTATATTCACTTACGGTGTTTGTTACTGCAGTGGTTGACAATCTCTCATCTTTTACTTGAAGAGATACAGAGGGTTCGACTTCTGGTGAAATAGTTGGCGTTTCAGGATTAATGGCAGAACTTGAGGTAATATTTAACTTGGTTGTCTCTTCATTACTGACAGTGGTCGTAGTGCTTATTTCTTTTTTCTTCTCGACTTCCTGACTAATGTCTACATTCATTTTGTCATCTTTTTTAGGTTTGGCTGCTTCATCTGCGTTTAGATTTTTTTTTGTTTTCTCTAATTCATATTGGCCTGTGGTGTTAGAAACTGATGTAGTTGAAGCTTCACTATGTTCTCCTTCAATTGACACTGTGTTGTTGACTTTTAATACTTCGTTTCTTAGTTCATTCTCAATTTTTTTTCTAAGATAATCTTCGAAAATTTTTTCATGGATTATAGAGCAACATGAATAACAACAGCAACAAGAATGACAGGAATCTTTACCGTTACAACTCATAATGAAACTTTTTATGTTTCCCTGTTTCTGCACCCTGATGTTTGTAACCCTAGTTTCTGAAAATTTTATAATCAGAATGTAGTTTTTATTTTATATATATTTTGTTATTTTTTATTTCTTATAGTATTAAGGGGTTATGCCACTCTAGGATTTTAAAAAAATCGATTTTTATTTTTTTGCATTAAATAGTCCCTTAGGGTATCAGAAATAACATATCGTAGTATTACGGCTAGGGAAAATCTCTAAGTAATTTATTTTCGTAGTTTCGTATTTTCGTAGCGACGAGGTCCTTTTGTTAGCGCGCTACGGGAGGTGATCTTTGAAGGATCTAGAGCAGGTATAAGGCTACTTTTCTGTCTAAACTATAGTCTATTCTACACAATTTGGCTTCACAAACAGTATGCAAGCGTCTGTTTCAGTAAGTTAGGCATAGTCAAGCATGTGAAGAGCATATTAACTTTAAACTTTAAACGCGATTATCTGAAAACTACATTTTTCGAGTTGGCCGCACTAACAACTCGTACAATTTTCAACCGATTAAGTTCAAACTTCACAAACATCTTTGAAAATATATTTTTTAAGGCATCACGTAGGATTTTTTTTTATTCTGTATTGTTCATTTGTTATTAACAATTTACTGACGATTTTTTGTAGAATTTAGAAAGGTTAACTTTAGAAGTGCGCCATTTGACCATGGATCAATACAATAAATAAAAAATTATATACTCAAGATATTTCAAAATTTACGGGAACAGTTGGTGCGGCCACGGACCATATGCGCCACAGAGATGTCGACGGAAAACCCCAACAGCGTCGCCATTTTTCATTAAATTATTATGAAAATTTATATTTTTAAACTTCAAAAGATGTACAATAAACTCCTCATATTCCAATTTTAATTGACTTTATAAATTCTCTGCAAAAAATTCACAAAAAATGCCTATTTTTTCGGTTTCTAGAGTGGCATAACCCCTTAATCAAAGTAATGTTAAATTGTTAATACATTGAGTGGAATATTTAAAAATATGCTAATAATATGAATAATGTTCACTTTATTGCTATTGATTTTAAATCCCTCTGTTAAACTAAATAAATATCTTTTAAAGTAAATTATAATTTATAAATTGATTGCTACTCACTTTTGGTTGTTTACTTCAAACCGTAGACTGAATGTCGTCCTACAAGTTGCTCTAGTATTTAAATGATCATTGATCAATTAACTATGTTGTCTATTTTAGTTTTTAATGTTGTTTTAATGAAATCGAACAGTTACAATTTAACTGAATTTTTTCTATTGGTGATATTGATTGCCAAATTGTAGTTTATCTTTTGGCTGTAGGGAAATTTCGACCTCATTTATTATGTTCTTTTGTATTTGTTATCAATCTAATTATACATAATTGAAACAAACAAATATGCATTAGCGCCTTAGGGTTTCATATGACAGGTAATATTGTCTTAAGACCTAGAGCCTAATGAGTTCATTTTTTAAATAAACCGGCTTTATTTATATTTTTTTTAAGAAATTGTATTATTTGTAAAAACATATATTTTTAAACAAATTTTTAAAATGCATATTTATGATTATGAATTTATATTCAATAGAACTTTGATATTTTTCTTTTTGACAGAACTTATTTTCTGCTTTTTTCGTATAATTTAATTCTAACATTACAATAAAATTACTAAATTAGGCAGTTTGAAAAGAAGAATGTATGTGTTTGTCAATTAACATAATTTACTAAAGAAGACAATGTTAATGATTTTTTTCGTAATTAACATGATTTGTAATTAATCTTTTGTTAGAAATGGAAATAAAAGCAATTAAATAATAATTATTCATTTTAAACTGTATTTAAAAGTTTTCCTATAGTTTTAATATTAACTGAATTGACAAGAGTATTATTGAAATTTTTGTTTCTTAATAGAAATAAGGAAAATAATAATGAACTCTAGTACCACGTGAATCATGAAAGATTTATTAAACATTACAGATTTACACAGGAGCATTTTCGGTATTTTATATAATTATATGCATATGATTGTGCCTTTGGTCCTTAAGTCGGGTGGGCTCTAGGCAAGTCTATTTTTATGCAGCTTAAATAATTTATAAATCTTTATTTTGCGTAGACATTATATGTATTTCTCAATATAGCATTTTATGTATATATATTAATAGAATATCTTTATACTAGGAGACTTATAATTCATATATTATATATAGTATTTATAATATATATACGATTTTCTTCTCCCATATTTAAAAAAAGCAATGACACAAGTTTTTTGCTAAATTCACTTAAAACTTTAAAATTAAAGAAATTTCTCGGTCATTGTATATTGAATAATTTGTGACATAAATGTCCCGCAATAATTATGCATTAATTTCTTATTTTTTTTTTGTAATTTTTTACAATAATAGTAAAAAATACGCTATATTTTCATTTTTCTTATTATTTCTCACAATATAATTAATATTTTTTTTCTTTTCTTTTTTTTTGCAAGAAATGTAACAATTCAAAAAACAGTCAGTATTTTTTTCCATATTATATAAATAAAATATTCCTCATATTTATCAAGATCGAATAATTATTATTACAATTTATCTTTAAATAGTACAATAATATAAGTTACGCCTATAATGTAAATAATTATTATAAATATACACAATGAAAAAATTGTTAAGAAATTGTAATTAAATAATTGAAAAAATGTACAATATATAACCTGATGATAAAAAAAAGAATTCAAATCTTGCCGTCGCTCAAATCAAAAACAATATTTTAGAGTCTCTCTCGTGAATTATTGTGCTTTTTGTTTTGTTTTGTGTGACAGCAAGATGAAATATTTTCACTCAAAGAAAAAAAACACCATTAAGCAGTGTCGACGTTTTTTTATCTTAAAATTTGCAACTTAGAAATTTTCTCTAAGTCTTTGAGTTTTAACAGCGAGCAACATGAGAAGAATACTTAAATTTTCTTTGTTTATTTAATTTTTTTTTAATGGGACAACGATATATCCACTTTTTTAATTCATAACAGAGTGTAATTTTTCTTTCAATAGAAATCTATTTATAATTTTTTTTTCTTTTTATAATCATAGTACAATCTATCTGCACAAAAATGTTTAGAAGCGACATTCAAGGGTAAACATTTTTCTTTTTTTTTTTGATGGAAGCAAAGCAAGATTTTTTTTCTGTTTCACTTTACAAAGAAAAGCACTGGACGGGCTGGCGTAGTAAAGACTAGCGAAAAAATGCTAGTCTGTCTAGCAAAGAGAATATTTTATTAAAAACAAATTCGATTTATTTGCCATTAGGCCAAGGTACAATATATATATCAATGCTATTTAGCTTTTTTTATCGAAGAGTATGATATTAAAGCTCGACGCGAGGAAATATCGAACTAAATTCATACGTAGAGATGTGCTTGTTTTTTTAAAGCTTTTTAGTTTTTTAAAAAAAATTTTTCTTTCTTAAAATGTCTGCCCTCTTTTTCGCAGTGTCAAGAATTTTACTTTGCTCAGAGTTCGTCAAAGATAAATCGACACTTATTCACTGTCCCTTTCTATCTTCCACCATAAATTGATCCACTATTTTTTGCATTGATTCACGAAGCTCGTCTGCACCGCTGGAGACACCTCCTAATCCCGCCGTTGTTACTACTCGCGTCGTTCTCGTTATTCTGAAAATTAGCAAAAAGAGAATTAGGCTTTAAATTTTTTTGATAATTAACAAAGGGGAAAATTTTATTAATTTTTTGTTTATAATTTTTAAATTATATTTAAAGACAGGAAAAAACGGGTTCGACTGCGAAGGGTAAATAAAGGAGTGGGGACAATGGGAGTGAGAGAGAAAAACCGCAATGTACCTAATTTTTCTGTAATTAACATCAAATAATTAATAGTAAAAATAGTAATATATATAATTTTATTTTGTTAAAAGTCAGTTTTTAAAAAATATATATATATATAATTTTATGTAAAATATTTTATTTTGTATAAAAAATACAGGGCTCGAACTAGATCCGTAAATCCCATAAACGTCCATAAATTTGCTTCAAGTCCACAAAAGGCAGTTTTTTTGAAAAATGATCCCTAAAGTCCGTAATTTCATTGAAAAAGAACAAAAAGTTCATAAATTGTTCGATATAATTTGAAGAATTTTAGAACAATTATAAATGATTGCAGAAAAAATCAATTATTTTCAAAAGTTTATAAATAATAAAATTCTTCTCTGAAATTCAATTATTTTCAAAAATATTTAATCAAATTCTTGTCAAAATTTCAATTATTTTCAAAACTTTTCTCAAATTTAATGATTTTCAATATCTACTATTTTAATAAAATTTTCCAAAAGAATTCCATTTTCAAAAAAAATTTAAATAAAATTCTACGCAAACATTCAATCATTTTCATAAATAGTAAAATTTTTTACAGGAATTCAATTATTTACAAATTTTTTATTTTCTTCGCAATAATTCAATTATTTTCATAAATAGTAAATTCTCGTAGAATTTACTAATAAAAATTGTTTTAAAAATGAATTTCAGTTAAAATTTTAAATTATAATTTAATATTAAAAGTAGTATAACTTAGATTTTTAAAAATAATTGAATTTTGAAAAAGTTTTAAATTTAAATAATTGAAATTCTTAATTTTTCATATTTGTAACAAACAATTCTACAGGATTAATTCTTTTGAAAAAGTTAAATTGAATTTTAGTTGAAATTCTTTCAAGTTTTTATTTTCCAATATATATTTAATTGAAAAATTTCCGAATAATTGAAATTTTATAAAATTGAATTTGAAGCAAATGAATTTAAAAATTCTCAAAGAAATTTTTCAAAAATTATTAAAAATAATGGATTTATAGAAGAATTTAAGTTAAAAACACTAGAAAAAAATTTAATTTTGGAGAAGTTAAAAATTATTGCAGAAATTCAATTATTTTTAAAACTAATAAAATTGTACGCAAACATTAAATTATTTTCATAAATAATAAAATTTTTTACAGGAATTCAATTATTTACACAATTTTTTTTTATAAATTTCTTCGTAATAATTCAATTATTTTCATAAATAATAATAGGTATTCAATTATTTTCGCAAATAATAAAATTCTTTTAGGAATTCAATTATTTTTATAAATAATGAAACTCATTGCAGAATTTCAATTATTTTTAATGCAATTTTAATCGAATTCCTCGAAAAATGTAATTACATTTCATATTCTTAAAAATTTTATTAAAATTCGCCTAAGGAATTTAATTATTTAAAAATTTGTTGATACAATTTTTTATGAGAATTTAATTTTAAGAAACATTAAATTAATAAATTATTTATTTTTGTATTTAAATAATTGAATTCTCGTAGAATTTACTAATAAAAATTATTTTAAAAATTAATTTCAGTTAAAATTTTAGATTGTAATTAAATATTAAAAGCATTACAACGTGGATTTTTAAAAATAATTGAATTTTGAAAAGGTTTCAAATTAAAATTCTCAAAGAACTTTTTCAAAAATTATTAAAAATAATGGATTTATAGAAGAATTTAAGTTAAAAACACTAGAAAAAAATTTAATTTTAGAGAAGTTCAAAATTATTGCCGAAATTAAATTATTTTCAAGAGTAATAAAAAATTCTTCTTAAGAGGATTCAATTATTTTTACCAATAATAAAACTCATCGCAGAATTTCAATTATTTTTCATACAATTTTAATTGAATTCCTTGAAAAAGAAATTATTTTCATGCATGTTGTAATAAAATTCGACAAAAGAATTCAATTATATAAAAATTGGTTGATAAAATTCTTTATGAGAATTCAATTTTGAGAAACATTCAATTGTTCAACAAATTATTTACTTTTATTTAAATAAAGGAATTATAGTAGAATTTTTTATTAAAAATTGATTTAAAAATGAATTACAATTGAAATTTTAGATTATAATTGAATATTAAAAGCAATATAGCGTGAATTTTTAGAAATAATTGAATTTTGAAATTATTTTTTTTTGGAAAAAGTTTAATTTTGATTTTTTTTATATTATTTAAAGTTTTTATTTTCTAATATGCATTTATTTGAAGAATTCAGGAATAATTGAAATTTCGTGAAATTGAATATTGTAAATAATATTAAATACTTTCACTGGTTCGAGCCCTGAAAAATACTAAATTTTATTTTTTAAAGTTTAAAATAGAAAAACTTAAAAGAAAATTATGAACTACCTTTCATTTGTTTCAGGATCAATTTCTGTCGTTGTTGTTTCCATGTAGGAAGGTTCGCTTTGTTGTAAAAAGTCAGATTCTGTCGAAAAGAAAAATTTTTATTGAATAGATGAAAATAATATTAAAGTTAAAAAATTAAAATTTTCATTTTGACTTGTTATACACTTAAGACAATTACAACTTAGTACCTCTCAATTTTTTACATCATGCCCAAAACAAAATAAAAAGAAAAAGGGGAATGGGATAATATTATACTAGACACAAATAAAAAAAGTGACAAAACATTGCTAATACAATTTTACAATACATTTTTTTCAATATATCGCATTTTTAGTCAAAAATTTCATCAAATCTTGAATATTTTTATTGTAAATCATTTATCGTCAATTTATTTAAATTAGGAATATTTATAGATTCCTTAATCTACTTTTAAAATGATAATTAAGATACGAAATACAAAAAAAATTAGAGATACATTTCGAAATGTTGTTTTAAAATACATTTGAATGAAATACACTTTACAATGCGTTTTTAAAATTAAAAAATTTTTCGAATATTTGTGTTAAATTTTCTTCGACTACATTTGACTAAATATGCAGATTTTTTTTTCGAGAAAATATTATGCCAAATTGAATTTTTATTATTTGATATCAGTATATATAAGTAGTGCTACACGCAGCGAGCTCGTGTAAAGCGCTGACAAAAGCTGCTGATTGAGGCATTTAGCAGTTTAATAATTGTATATATATATAGTATATACGAAGATTATATTCAATCTTCTTCATAAACAAAATCATAACTCAACTATATATCATGGTTGTTTATTTCAAGGGGCATATTCTAACTACAATTATATGTTAGTGTTGTTAGACGAATTATTAAAAAAATCTACTATGGAAATTTAAAAAAAAACCTGTATTTAGTTTGGTTACTTTTTTTAAAGAAAAATTGTCTACTTGCTACATTATTAGATTAAAGCAAATTTAATATTCTCTAAGGTAAAAATAATATTTTACTGTCGTCTAAATATTATTAGTAATACTGGATTTAATAATAATTAATAATAATTAATAATAATTAATTATAATTAATAATTACTAATAAATTAAAAATTGCTGAGTTATTATCTTAGTAGTACATTGATATAAAGAAAAAAGGAATTTTTTTCCAGCGAGTGCTATAAATAAATAAAAAATTAAGTGCTCTCAAAGTGAATATACCTACTTTTCAACTTGAACATAAAATTAACTACATAATTATTGCAGATTATTTATTTTGGGATGAGCCAAACGAAAAGGAACACGAGAAATATTCACATTCGCCTAACAACCCTAACGTCATCATACCTAATAATGTTCGTTGGTCCCTCTACACTTTAGCTTTATCTTGAGATGCTCATGTAGAAGCTAAAAAAAATATATTGAAAACAAAAAACTAAGGAGTAATTGTTTGTTTTTAAATAAAATTGTAAAAAATTTGTTGAACAGTAGTTTTACTTGTATAACTGCGTGCAAAGTGTAAAAAGACATTCCTTGGGATCTTTTTCTTTCATGTTTATTTATTATTATTATTTGTATTTTTTTTTTTGTTAAATTATTTGTGCATAATTGAAAATGAACATGCTTGTTTTTACGGGGGTAATAAAAATCATGCAGCTTGCAGTTTTAGATAAAACCGTTTTACCTGAAAGAACAGAAAAAAATTTTCGCCACAGTTTAGTGGAACCAACTGTTGCATAGTATTGACTGGACCTTTAAATAGTAATTGAATTTAATCAAATATGCTTAGTTAATAATTTACTGGGATTGTTTGCTTTTTTTGATTGACGAGTGTTACTTTCTAAATCTGGCCACGAAACTTACTGATTATATACTATTTTCTGGTGTGTTCTATTTGGACGATTAGTTTTATTAATGTTTGATCTATTTTCTAATTATGCTGCTCTTTATTGGGGAAATTGGGAAATTTGGGGAGTCGATTAGATAATACCTTTGGCACAACTCACTTTTATTTTTTATTTGTAATTTTCTGCTTATTAAATTTTACTTTAAACTTTACCTCCAATTTACCTTTCATTTTCTACATTTTGTTATTAGTTAATAGAACCAGAATCGTATACAAGAAACTTTGACTTTGACTTGTAATTTTACACCTCTCAATTTTGAGAAATCCTTTTCCCAACATTCAATTTTCTACATAATTGCAAATTTCTACTTCTGATACTTTCTACTTCACATATTATACATTTGTTCGCGAATTACCTGAATCATCTAATTATCTTCATCTTATCATCAACTATTTTCTAACTTTCATATTTTACTTTCAATATTCTCTGTTCTACTTTGTTCTACTTCTTCTTTGTCTTACTCTATATTCTACTCTTTAAACTCTACTTTCTACCCGCCTTTTGTCAATTTCTATCGTTCACATTCTTAAAATTCTATTTTCTACTTCTTAGATTTAACAATAAAAAAAATTGTTTTTAATTTCTACTTTCTACTTCCTGTTTGTAACTTTCCGTATCTCAGTTTCCACTTCTTATATTCGACAATTAACTTCACACGACCTACATTCGAATTTCTACAACCCATTTTTATTATTTTGTTCGATTTTGTTTTCTATTTTACATAGTTTTGTAATTATAATAATTTTCAGTTTTCCTCTAATTATTATTATTTCTTTTCGTTATTGTTTTCGTATATATATGTAAGAGGTATAAAATAGAAAGTGGTTTATAGGAATTAAAATGTAGAAAGTAGAATATTAATAAATATAGTATAATGCTAAATACAGGAAATAGATTCAGAAATTAGTGGGAAGTAGAAAATGGGAAATGGGAGGTAGAAAGTAGAAAGTATTACCTAGAAAGTAGAATTCAACATATAAAGATAGTGGATTGTGTAAAGTGCAAATTTGGTATGTCGAAAGTAAATAGAAAATAGAAAGTGGAAAATGGAATAAACGTAGTGGAAAGTAGAAAGTAGGATATGGAAGGTGGAAAGACGAAAATAAAAAGTATTATCTAAAAAATAGGATGTAAATATTGGATTGTGTAAAGAAGGATGTAGAAAGTGATTTAAACTCGGTGGGAAAAGAGAGATGGAAAGTAAAAAGTAGAAAGTAGAAAGTGGGAGGTAGAAAGTAGAAAGTATTACCTAGAAAGTAGAATTCAAAATATAAGGATAGTGGATTGTGTAAAGTGCAAATTTGGTATGTCGAAAGTAAATAGAAAATAGAAAGTGGAAAATGGAATAAACGTAGTGGAAAGTAGAAAGTAGGATATGGAAGGTGGAAAGACGAAAATAAAAAGTATTATCTAAAAAATAGGATGTAAATATTGGATTGTGTAAAGCAGGATGTAGAAAGTAAAAAAAGGGACAAGAAATTATTTTAACTCAGTGGGAAATGGGAGATGGAAAGTGAGAAATGGAAGGTAGAAAGTAGGATATGGGAGGTGAAAAGTCAAAAATAAAAAGTATTAAATATCTGGAAAGTAGGACAGAGTTGACACAAATATTTAATTTTATTTTTCCCTGACTTTTACCTGATTTCCAGCCAAATTTTTACTTTTTCCCTGACCCTAAAGAATATTCTGATTCACTCTAAAAATTATTTGTTAGGCACTCAAAAAAATTCTCTATTACATTTATTTACAAATTTCTTTCATTGTAAAACTATTCAAAAACATTAATAACTTCTTTTTTAAATAAATATTTAATCATTATTATTTTTCTGTATCAATTAAAATTTATCAAAACATTCAAATTTAAACCTTTTTGAAATTAAACAACTCACAAAAGTATTTGTTATAAAACATGAAGAAGGCGATCACTCCGAGTCGAAGACTCGGAGTAATCGCCTTCTTCAAGTTTTGTAATAATTTAAATTACCATAAAATTTTTCAAAAAAAAAAGTTAATTATTTACAAAAATCCTAATAAAATCCTTCGCAAGAATTCAATTATTTTTACAAATAGTAACATTTCTCAAAAAAATTCAATTTAAAAAAAAAATGTAATAAAATTCGTTGCAATCATTCAATTATTTTCATAAATAATAAATCGATTATTCGGTAATTCATTTTTAAATCAGTTTTTATTAGAAAATTCTAGAAGAATTTTATTAAGTATTTAAATACAAAAATAAATAATTTATTGAATAATTAATGTTTATTAAAATTGAATTCTCATAAAGAATTTTATCAAAAAATTTTTCAAAAATTGAATTCTTTTGAAAAATTATAATAAAATTTTTAAGAATAATTACATTTTACGAGGAATTCGATGAAAATATTGTATCAAAAATACTTAAAATCCTGCGATGAGTTTTGTTATTTATGAAAATAATTAAAATTTTCCCAAGAATTACAGTAAAATTTTTTTTAAATAACTGAAATTCGGAGAAGAATTTTATTATTTATAAAGATGCTTGAAATTTTCACAAGAATTTTTTTTTAAATTTTTGAACATAATTGAATTTTGTGAGAAGAATTTTATTAGTTTTGAAAATAATTTAATTCTTCCAACGAATTTTATTCATGTTTATAAAAATAACTGAATTTCTGGGATAAATTTTATTATTTATGTAAATAATTTAATTCTTGCAACGAATTTTTTCAAGTTTATAGAAGTAATTAAATTTCGGCGAAGAATATTTTTTTATTTATAAAAATAATTGAATTCTTGCGACGAATTTTATTATTTTTCAAAATAATTTAATTCTTCCAACGAATTTTATTCATGTTTATAAAAATAACTGAATTTCTGTGTAGAATTTTATTATTTATATAAATAATTGAATTCTTGCAACGAACTTTATTCAAGTTTATAAAAAAGTAATTAAATTTCGATGAAGAATTTTTTTTATTTATAAAAATAATTGAATTCTTGCGACGAATTTTATTAAAAATCTTTTTAAGTAATTGATATTATTCGAAAAATTTTATGAAATTTTCTATTTTAAATAATTGAATTCCTGTGAAATTTTGACAAGAATTTTATTAAAATTTTAAAAAATAATTGAATTTCTATGAAGAATTTTATTATTTATAAAGATAATTGAAATTTTGGCGAGAATTTTTTTTTAAATTTTTGAACGTATAATTGAATTTCTGCGAAGAATTCAATTTTTGTTAGTATTTGTAACTAAAATTCTTTTATCAATCTAGTATTTATGAAAATTGTAAAAATTATTCATTAAATAATTAATAATTCATAATTTAATTATAGTTCTTGAAAAATTAAGTTATTTAAAAAGAAATTATTAGCAAAAATAGAAAAAATTAAAGGTTTGGTATTAAAATTCGTGGTAATTTCTTAGTTTACGAGGCAAACAAAAAAAATCATCAATATTCAGAGTTTTCTCATGAATTTTAAAAATTCAATTCTTTCCAGTGCTTTTAATAAAAATCCTTGACTTTTCCCTGATTTCCCTAACCAATTTTACTTTCCCTGACTTTTTCCTGACTTCCCTGACCTGTGGCAACCCTGTAGGATTATAGATAGCGAAATATGGAATGTAGGAGAAAAGAAAAAGATTTTAAAAAGTAGAAATTAGATTAAAAAAAGTGAAAAGTAGAATTAAAAAAAGGAAAATAACTATAAAGAAAGTTAAAATTTAGAATTTAAGAAGCATGAACATTGAAGGCAGGAGCCAAAAGTAAAAAATAGAAAGTAAAATACAAAAAAACGTTACCTAATCAACCCCCTGTACTGCTGTGCAAAGTAAAAACCTACTAAGTCGCATTTGCCGTAAGGTTGAAAGTCGCTTACTATGCAAGCGACTTTCGCCTTAACGGCAAATGTGATTTACTAGGTTTTTACTTTAGACAACTCTATGACGCTCTCACATATTCTAAGTAATAACACAATCATACAGAAAATTAAAGAAAAAAACAAATTAATACATTTTTTTTTGTCAAAGGGATGAAGAGAATATCTGTGAAAAAAAATTGGTAAACAAAAGTAACATTAATTCGTACCCAGCGTGCCTTGGGGCATGGCTGGAAAATGTGTGGATGGCGTGCTGTAGGGTACGCGGCTCCAGGGCAACAATAACCGCAATGACGAGCATCATTACCGCGAATATCAGGACCATCCAAAAGAAGCAGCTTTCTTTACCTCCATTCTTCATCCTAGGCTTCGTTTTTACAAGAACGTTCTCTAAACTCGAACTGGCTGACTCTATTGAACTGTCTCTCGCTGTCACGTAAACATTATTTTTTATATTCTCTCCATATTTTTTTTTTTTTCAACTTTCGCTGATTTTTAATTTTTCAACTCTTTCATGTAATGCAATAAAATATCAGACGGTTATTCAAGGTACAACATTCATGAGTTTCTGAACATTTAAAATCGTGTTAGTTCATTCTGTAAAATGGAGCTAAAAATAAAAAGCTAAATACTGATAAATAAGGGAAAAATTCTCTTAGTTACAAAACATAAACCATATATCAAAAATATACCATAGTTTACCATAGTAAAGCTTTTCCCTTGAATAACCTTTCTTTTACTTTTCAGAACATTTATCAATGTAAACTTTTTCGTTAAATTAATTTATTATTGTGAAAATAAGAATCAAATTCTGATATTTTATTACACCGCCGCAGGAGTGAATTTACAAAGAATATTACTTTAAATGTCGATGATTATATGAATCGCCCAAGAAGCACATCCCGTGGCCAGAAGTATGGCGAAAAACCACACATAGTTTCACTCTTGACAAAAAGTTTTCTTTCTTTTGTTATTCATTATTATCCCAGCAAACCATAGAATAAAAATATCCAGTCGATGATTGGTGGAGTGATTTTTGTTTTTACATAGTCCGCATAAATTTCAAAGCCTTTTAAGACCTGTATGTATAAGTACAAGCGTCATTTTTCTGTCTCTTAATAAATAACACCTGAAAAGTAGCTTTAGCATATTTGTGCATTCATTTGCATTTCTTTGTGTTATTAAAAAAAACGCATGCAAATGATGATATTAGACATGCATAGTGCAATAAACATGCAACACTTAATTCGTAATTCGATGAAAGCTTTCGATTATGATAGTATGATCATGATTGATAGAATGATTGTTTGGAATTTAAATTGAATATTAAGCAGATCGTTTTACGATTTAAGGTTTTTTTGTTTGTCAGAAAAAAAGGGTTAGCAGGATATGTACATTGCTTACTTAGAATGTTAGCTGTGAGTGAGGTACCTTGGTCGTCTTCCAATGGGGAGAGCTCAGCACCTTCATGAAGTGCGACATCTGATCCGCTAGAACTGCCCAAAGTTCTTCTCTTGCTCAATGATCTTCTTCTTGGTTGTGGCGAACCTTCGCTATCCGTATCACTGTTTACCTCATGTCTGTAATTTTCATTCTTTTGATACAAATCACCATTTCCCGAGCCAGGCGACGTGTCCAATGAGCATTGCGTATCCCAAATTTCTGATTGTAAACTTCCTGATGTGACAGATCGCCATGTCTCCTGTTTCCCATCGGGTAGAGTTTTAGTCGTCATTGTCTCAGTCCATACTTCCGGCTCTAAACTATCAGACGTTGTCATCACAGTTTTCTTCACTATCTTACTCGACACAACCTCTCCATCCTTGATCAAGTCCTCTAATTCTGGATCAGTCTCTTGGGAACTTGTCGTCACCTGCTTGGAAATTGGATGATTTTCAAAATTCTTGTCCAACTCCTCTGATGGTATACTATGACTGCTGTAGGTCGTGATCGTTTCCGTGAAATTCTTCGTCTCAATAATTCTATCTTCATCTTGATTTTTGAGTTTTATTGGAATTTTACTCTTCGGGGATGGTATCTCCTTGGATGGTGGACTACTATCCTGCTTCTCAAATTTCCTAGCCGGTATTTTTGATTTTATCGTCGTTTTTTTCTTCTGTGGCGACGCGGGGTCCTTAATGTTTAGTTCCAAATTAGCTTTAGATGAGATGGTGGCAGTGTAACGAGGGGCAGGAACAGGAGCAGAAGTAGCATGCCTCTCTACAGTCCCATCAATCTCAGCCGAATCATGCCCTGACCCATCCAAAAGGACACGGACAAGAACAGGAGCAAGGACATAAAGCACATTGATACACACTAATAAATTTTGTAACTCTAGCCCAGCTGCAAGATGGGTCTAAGACTCAGCAAATTTATTTTCATTTCTTTTTTTCGAATCATGGAACGTGAAAATTTAGTTAGTATCATTGCAAAAGGATTAGTCTCTTAACACTCAATGAAACGGTGTCTAAATGTATGCCTGCATTTAATCAAAAGGTACCAAAAAATTGTTCTACAAAACTCTAAAACTCCAATTGTGTATTACTACAAATATAAGTGAACTATGCAATGATTTTTTCTAAAAGAAACGTTATTTTTGAACACTTTTTGGAAATGTAGACTAAATAACATCTAATCTTATTATAGTAATTATGTATAAATATATGAGGCATTCTTTATCAACAGGACCCCCTTGATATTCAAAAATGAATTAGGTTTCAATTTTGGGTCATAGGCTTAAAATTTAGGTAAAAAGGAAAACTTTTAAATGCCGAGTGGAGTTTTTGAAAATTTAAAATGGCGGAGGATATTTAAAAAATTAATGCAATTTATATAAAACTAGCAACAATTCGAGCGCGGCTGACTTCTCACTCACTTTTTTACATAAAATTAGCAATTTTTAAATTAATAAAACGTAAAAATTTTTAATTCAAATTTTTTATTATAAAAATAAAATATGAATTCAGAGAAAAGTCATGAATTTTTATTAAAAGTACTGGAAAAAATTACATTTTTAGAATTCATAAGAAAATTCAGAATTTTTGTTTCTTTTTTGTTTGGCTCATAAACTATAAAATTATTACGAATTCTAATACAAAACATTCAATTTTCTTCATTTTCTGACTAAAATTTCTCTTTAAATAACTTAAATCCTGAACTTTAAATCCTATATCATAAAATAAATAAATTATTTAATGAATAATTTTACTTTAATATTTCAAAATTAATTCAATTTTAAAAGAGTTGCGTTTACAATTTTTATAAATAAATGAACTTCAAATGGTTTCCATTTGAAATTTTATAAAATTTCAATGTTAAATGAACTTAATTAGAAATTTTATAGAACTTATATTTTTAAAAAATTTTAATAATTAAAAATCTTCTAAATTAGTTAAATTTGTCAATTCATATTTAATTAATTATTAAAAATAATGGATTTATAGAAGAATTTTTGTTAGAAACACTAAAGAAATTGAATTTTGAAGAAGTTACAAATGATTTGCAGAAATTCAATTATTTTCAAAAGTAATAAAATTGTTATCACAAAATTTAATTATGAATTAATAAATAATTAATTTAATTAATTAATTAATTTTATTTATTATGTTTAAAATTTACAAAAACATCTCGACAAAATCCAAAATATTATCTTTATAAATAAAAAAATTCTTCTTTAAAATTAAATTATTTTCAAAAATTTTTCTCATTTCAATGATTTTCAATATCTACTATTTTAATAAAATTTCCCAAAAGAATTCAATTGTTTAAAAACAATTTTAATAAAATTGTAGCAAAAATTTAATTATTTTCATAAATCCTAATAAAAATTTTATACGAATTCAAATATGAATTACAGTAAAAATATTCTTATATAATATAAAATAATGATTTTAACACTCGATTCTCTTTAATTATTATAAAACACGAAGAAATCGATCACTAAGTCGAAGACTCGAAGTAATCGTTATCTTTGTGTTTTATAACAATATTTTAAAAGTTGATTAATTTCAAAAAGGTTCGAATTTGAAATTTTTGAAAATCTTAACTCTTATGGAAAAATAATAATAATTAAATATTTAAAATATTTAAAAAAGAAACTATTGTTTTCGAATAATTTTACAATTAAAGATATTTGTAAATAAATTTAACAGAACATTTTTTTCAATAAAATTTTTTCCTTCATTTTCTAAAAATTCAAAAATTTTCAGTTTTATTTTCAATTAAATTTTCTAATTGACAAATATAATTTATAAACATTTTTTTTCTTCATTTTTAAAAAACTTTAAATTTTATTAAAACAATTAAAAGTAAGAAATAGAATTTATGCAAATTATTTTCTTATATGAAAGTTGAGAATTTTCTACAAAAATATTAAGAAATGGGAATATTTAATGTTTTTCTTCCCAAAAGAAGAAAATGAGTTTGTAAACAATATTGTTATTGAGAAATAAAAATTATGCAGAAAATGGGTATATTTCCTACTTCTTAATAAAAAATTTTTAATAATTAACAATTTTCTAGTATTTTTTATAAATAAAAAGGAGAATAATTTGCATAATAATTTAGATCAGTCAAACGAAATTTGTTATAGAAAAAAGCATATAACAAACAAAATGGGTATATTTTTTATTTGTTAATCATAAATTTTTAAAAATTTTCTAATTTATAATATTATTTTATTATAAATCATGAAAAAATACCAGTCGGTTTTAAAAAATTCAAAATGGCGGATCCAATATGGTGGACGTTATTCCTTAAATTAATGCAATTTTGATAAAATTTGCTACTTAAAGGTTAATTACGAATCTGTAGTCAGATTTTAAAAATTCAAAATGGCGGATCCAATATGTCGGACGATATTCCTAAAATTACTTTAATTTTTATGAAATTCGTTACTCAGGGGTTTTCAGGGTCGCTAATTACGAATTTAAAGTCAGTTTTTAAAATTTCAAAATTTCTGAACCAATATGGCGGACGGTAGTTTTAAAATGCAATTTTTTGTGAAAAATTGAATTAATTACACATATCGTCTACCATATTGGATGAGCTATTTTGAAGTTTTAAAAGCTCACTTTAGATTCGTAATTAGCGTTACTAACAAACCTCGAATAGCGAATTTTATATAAATTGCATTAATATTTTAAATATCGTCCGCCATATGGGATCCGCCATTTTGAATTTTCAAAAACTCCCCTCGGCATTTAAAAGTTTTACCTAAATTTTAAGCCTATGACAGGAAATTTAAATCTCATCAATTTTTTGAGAACAGGGGTGTCCCCCGTTGACAAAGAATGCCTCCTATATATAATAATTGATTAGACGTTATTCTTTATTTATGACCAGAAAAATTATTGTGGTCAAAAAAGTTGTTTTGCATTCAAGAAAAGTTTTTTTCTAACTATTTAATATGAATTTCAATAGAGAGTGGATGTGCCTTGCATTCTTGTATTATAGAAAAGATGATTCTCTATGTGAAAGGAAAGAACTGTACATACTTACAGATACAAGATTTTAATTACAATGGAATTTGTACCTTTTAAGTAAAATACACGCACTGCATATTAGTTATAGTGTGGTAAAGCGTCAGCAAGTGCTAACTATGAAAGATAAAGCTAAATATAACTGAGGGCACCATTAAAAAAAAATATTTCTTTCAAACTATCTGATTGTGACCTTGTGTCAGCGAAATTGTTCTCTTTAATTAATAAAAAATTTAATTTTCGTTACAATACCTGGTTGTCTGAGTGAGATGGCTTGGCTTGCTAATTCATGGGCACGTCTTTCAGCCTCCTCAGTTACATCTGAAAAGAAATTGGAAAATTTTGATTTTAGACATGAAGAATAAAACGAATGGACATTAAAAGCAGTGAGTCGACAAAGATTAGATGAATGATTCTTTCCCTGCATGGCATACCTCGGATCATGCTTCACTAGATTGTGGTTTCCTGTTAATATTCTTTTTTTTTTTTTTTTGAATGATAGATATTACTTACTGCGTAATTTTTTAATTTTTATAGAACATGATCTCTATGTTACGCTAGAGAGGAGAGAAAATTATACACAACTATAAATCAAAAAACTTTATGCATTTGTTTAAATTTCTTTTTTAAAAAAACCACACAAGCGTGGCTTTTTTTTTATTTCTTTTGTAAATTAAAAAAAACAGCGCAAAAAACCTGGAAAACATGCATCAAACTCAAATCAAAAAACAAGTTATAAAGTAACGTAAACGCAAATAGGCAAAATAATTACACTTTATCAGAGTATCTCAAAATTGGCTCTTTACTTCGTTTTGTTTACAATTTCATCGATATATTTAATGTTCATTAAAATACTTATGTTTTCCTAGCAGCAGGAATTTTATTTTAAATTTTAGTTTTTCGAAATACAAATGTTAGAAATAAAAATTTTGTGCCAAATTGAATTTTTGAGGATAAATTTTTTCAAATTGTAGAAATGAATAATAATAATTTTTCTTTAAATTGTATTCTGTGAAAAATTTTTTATTGGAAAAGTAGACAAAAAGAAAGAAAGAGTCTTGAAATTTGATATACCCTTAAACTCATATACAGCAATCAAATATATAATTTACTTTTAAACAATAAAATAAATGAATTTTACTGAAAGTAGTTTTGAACCTTCTGCAAATAGTTTCCACGATAAATCACTTTTAGAGATCATGATTTTTAAAAGCTTACTTGTGACATACAATTTTACCAATTGTTAAATTTCTAATATAAGTTACGGTTAATTTTTTTTTACAAACTAGTGCAAATCCCAGATAGCACGCCAGCAAGTTAGCTGCAAGCTTGCTGTGAAAGTTTTGCAAGCTTGCCGCAAGCTTGAAATATCGCTTGCTGCAAAATTGCCGTAAGCTTTCTGCAAATAATTTTATTATATTGAATTATTTATTATATATATTAATATCATAAAACTAGCTGTCGTACCCGTCTTCGACGGGTTGTAGTTTCTGATAATGCACTTAACAGTGTATCTACCAACCTAGAAAACCGGAAAATAGCCGGGAATTTGATTTGACAGGGAAAAAATAATAATTAGTTACTATTGTCTATTTCATTAGGAAAATAATACCATTTGAAACAGTGACCGACTTTTTATTATCAAATTAGTTATTTTTAACTAATTCAAATGCAGAAAACAATATTTCTCAATTTGTAGTACTTCAATCAATATAATGTATTAAAATCAATCTAAAATTTCCTCCAGTTTTTTGAGTTATAGTACAGTCTAATTCGAACTAATTGTATAGCAAGTAGATCCAGTTTTTCTCGGTTACATTAAATTCCCTGATATTTTACGTCTTTTCTGGTTGGTAGACACCCTGTTAAATGTATTATTAAAAAACACCCGTCGAATAAACCAGGAAAAATTTGGACAAAGCCGGAAAATGTTTTAAACCAAAATAAACACCGTGTTTAACTTTTGTCTTTACATTGATCAAGATATCTCTAAAAGTTAAATCAGAGAGCCCACAAATACTATTGAATTAAGCTTCATAGCAATTGGTATCAAGATAATTTTTTCAATTTTTTGATATTCAAAACATTTTTATACTTACATCTTCGTTATAAGAAAGTATTTTTGAAAAATTATGCTAAAATGTGACTAAATAACATGTAATATTCAATTATATAAAGTTTAAAAGCTATCCATTGAAAAATGTAAAATTTAGAAATTTTCGATTTTTTAAAAATATTTTTATATTTCCATTTTAGTTACAAAGTATTATTTTTTGCAAAATTATGCTAAAATGTTAATAAATAACATGTAATACTCAACTATAGAAAGTTTAGAAGCAATCCATAAAAAAATATAAAATTTAGAAATTATTTGTGTTAAATAAATTCATTTATTAGAGTCAAGTATTTATTTAATTAATCCAATTAAGATTTATTTGATTTAACTAAATAAAATTATTTAAACGAAATAAATTTTTATTAGATCGAAATAAAAACTTTTAAATAAGATATTATATTACTATTAGGTATTAACGTAACTTACAATCATAGCCTTATCCGATTAAAAAATATTAACTTGAACGAAAGTTATGACATTTTTCCAAAAAATTCGAAAAATCAAAAAAATGCAAATTTTTTATCTTTTGTAAAATAAATGCAAAACTATCATTAGCTAACTTTTTCAGATAAATAAAACCCATTTCTACAATAAAATTTTTAAAAAAGACGTATTTGAAATTTTTTTTCGTTTTTTTAGATTAACTTTTTTCTAAGAAAATAGTGATTTTTAATCTTTAAGCAAGCTTTTCAGGAAAAGTTATTAAAGTTTTTTATTTAAAGATCAGTATGTTAAGTAAGAAATTTGCTACATTAAACCAAAATAATTAAGCTAAATGCCATAAAAAAGAAGAAAAAATGTTAAATTTTAAGAAATTCGGTTTTTTGAATTTTTGCTAATTTTCCATAATTTTAGATTTTTTACCGAAGGGTGGAGACTATTGAATAAGTAAAGTATTTTTTAAGAGCACAAAAATAATAAAGCTAAATGCCATAAAAAGAAGGAAAAATGTTGAATTTTAAGAAATTCATTTTTTTGCATTTTTGCTATTTTTCCATAATTTTAGATTTTTTACCAAAGGGTGGAGATAACAAATTAGGTTAAGTATTTTTGAAGAGCCCAAAAATAATGAAGCCAAAAGCCATAAAAGAGAAGAAAAAATGTTGAATTTTAAGAAATTCCGTTTTTTGAATTTTTGCTAATTTTCCATAATTTTAGATTTTTTACCAAAGGGTGGAGACTATTAAATATAAGTAAAGTATTTTTGAAGAGTACAAAAATAATGAAGCTTAATGATATAAAAGAGAAGAAAAAAATGTTAAATTTTAAGAAATTCGGTTTCTCGAATTTTTGATAATTTTTGATTTTTGGCTAAAGGGTGGAGACTATTCAAATAGTATAATTATACTACCGAAATAGCTAATGGTTACTAATTATTAATTTTCCGGTGAAATTAAATTCCCGGGTATTTTTGATTTTCCAGATTGATAGAAACATTGTTAAATGTATTGGTAGAAACTAAAACCCGTCGAAGACGGGTACAACAGCTAGTGCTATATATTATCAAAATTTTTAAAATTCAAAATTAATCTTTTGAAATAATTATTGTCATCAATTTTACTTAAATTTGATACAGGGTTAATTTTAGTATTTTTTATTACAATTTAGTCATCAGAATGAAATTTGAGTTTTTCATTTTTTGATCATTAATTAATATAATATAATAGCAATTTTGAATTCTGTGCAATATACTGACAAAAGTCTCATATTAATTATATGGATATTGTTAATATTCTGACCTAATAGAATTTTTTTAAGAAAGTAAACTTATGATTTCAACAACAAATTTTTATTGTTGACCTAAGAAATACAACCGTATAAAAATTAATTACAAAAAAATTTCAATTTTTAAACTTTTAATTTTTTAATTTTTCAATATTTAAATCTAACACTTTTTATTTGTTATTCAAAATTTTATTATTCTGACGATTAAATCTTAATAAGAAACACTAAAATTAACCCTGTACCAAGTTTAAGTACAATTCACTAAAGTATATGAAAAAACTAAAAATTTCGAATTTTCGAATTTTTGAAAAAATGGCATAACTTTCGTCCATATTAATATTTTTTAATCTACTATCGCTAGGATTTTAAGTTAGGCTAATGCCTAAAAGACTGCCAAGTTTCACTTCAAACGATCGAACCGTTTTTCCGTGATACGCGGTCGAAAATTTGCGGACATACATACACACATACACACACACACACATACACACATATACACATACACACATAATTTTCTTAATAGTATTTTCGCATTCCTTAGAGTGTAAAAATAAGGAATATAATAGAAATTTTGAATTCTATTCAATGTACAGACAAAAGTCTGATTTTATTAATAAGGATAAAATTTTTAGCAGCAAGATTGTGGTAATATTGCGACAAACATGACGCAAGCTTGCTGCAAACTTACCACAATATTAAAGCAAGATTACCAGTCAACATTGCGGCAAGCTTGCACCAATATTACGTACCATCTGGGATTACTTATTAATATAATTAATTTACTGTTAGAAACACTAATTAATGATAATTAATAATGACTAATTAATTATTGCTAATTAATATTACTAATTAATAATTACAGATTAATCATTACTAATAAATTATTAATTTACTTCATTATTAATATTAATATTAATTGTAAATAATAAATATACAATTATTTTTTAATGAAGCGATTCATGAAGAAAACTTTCAAGAAGGTTTTTGAAACTTTAATCAGTAAAAAAAAATTGAAGAGGTATTTTTTGGAAGGTTTGCTCCTAACATTCAGACTACAAAGTGATTTTATGATAAATGAAATAAATTTAATCGATTCTTTTTAATTGTGCATGAAGAAGAAATTTCTAAATTGGGAAATTTAGAAAGATTGTTCTACACTTTCTAGTATGAATGTTTTGTTTGAAATGAATTTTTCTCATGATGAAATGAAATTAGATTTCAATGATTGGAAAGGGTACATACCGATTTTTAGTTTTAAGTTTCATAAAACAAAAAAAGAAAATAATGAAAATTTAAAAATATAATTTATAAATATCTATACTTGAAATAAGAAAAAATTGAAATAAATCTAAAATATAATAATAAATATTATCAATAAAATAAACTACAAGATTTTCAAAAATAGACGGGACCACAAGAGTTTACTCCGAAAATAATATATTGAACGAAAAATGTTAAATTCCGAATTATTGAGTAGCAAGTTCTTATTTTACTTAAAAGTAGGTATCTTCTTATTTTAACTGTTTTTTTTCAAAGACATTAAAATTTAAAACTCTTGTTGATCCCCTCTTTCAACTACGACAAATCATGACAACGTTCTCAGTCATTTTAAAATGAGGTTTTTTTTGAAAAAAAACTACAATAAAAACAATTTTTCTATTATGTAAAAATTACTCCCACAGCATCGAAAATTTTCTGAAAATTTATTAAATATTTTACTTACAATGTTTGGAATATTGAAATGCAAAGAAAAATTTAGTGTAAAAATTTAAATGTCCTTATTATATAAATGTTTAGCGTGAAAATTTCCTTAAAATTTATCTTGAAACTTTCCTGAACATTCAAATTACATTTTCGTCTAAATCTATTATAGGCGAAAATTTAACGTGAAACTTTCCTGAACATTTATTTAATCGGAAAATTTAAATCTTTACATAATTTTTACTAAAATTTGCATTAAATATTCCCAACATTGCAACGAAATATTTAATAAATTTTAGGTTGTGTGGGGGTCTGAAAGTTTACTATGTTTAAAATGGCCGTTTCCTCCACTTGAGCACGCCAAGGTCACCACCAGGTGGCAGTTGAGCTCCATTTCTGAGAAATGGACTCAACTGACGCCTGCTGATGATTTAATGCTAGAAGTTTAAATCCTAAATTACAAAAACCAAAGAACGTTGACATTTTTCTTGAAAATTACTGAGAAATCTGTTAATTATCATTAGCGATAAAAATATTTTCCATAAAAAAATTTTTTTTTTTCAAAAATAACATTTTGAAAAAATCCCACTGGACCACAGGTAGTCATCTAAAATTAATTCTGCAATGAAATATTGCAAATGATGTCAGTATGATCCCTTGTATTCCAAGGTCTAGGTTAGGGTCAGTTAGGAATGAAACATTGGTGCATGATTAAATTTGCCGACTTTGACATGAATTGTGTAAACTGAGGTTACATTAAAGCATTAACTTAATCAATTAATCATGTTACACACAGCTGGTATGTAATTTATATGTATAATATATATACGAATAACACAATTATTGCAAGGTACCTTTAACGCTATTGTCACTGAACTCGGCGGGGCTGGGTGGTGGGGTCGTTGCCGTTCGCACAGATTTTGTAACGACTGTGGTGACGGTTTGACTTGCGCGAGGCTCGATGCTTCCTAACTCACTCAATATATCAGTCCCTACTATTGTACCTGATTCACCCACTGTTGTAAATCTTATTTCCCTAACTTCCCTAGATTCTATTGTTACTTCTGGAATGCTTGAAATTTCTTTGAATTCGTAAATTTGTTTTTTTGGACGTTCGTCATCAACGTCAACTAATCTAGCTAACGCGTTTGACGATTCGACATTAATATTAGACTCGGTTGTTGCAATTTCATCTTTTAGTGTGTCGGTATTACTTTCTGGTGATGACACATCGTAACTACCGGATATCGATGCTTCTTTACTTTCACGTTTTGTGTCCTCCCAGAATTTTTCAGTGGCACCTTTCAGGCCTTCTTTCGCGTGGTCCACTTCTTTTGCTATTTTGTGAGTTGCACTTTTCGTGCTCTTCACGATATTGGATATAATACCGCCTTTTTTTGGTTTTTTGGATTTACTCTTGCTTTCTGAATCTGATGAGGATTCCCTTTCAAGGGAACTTCTTCCTGAACTCAATTGTGGAATACGAGACTCTTTAGGTTCTTGACTAACTGGAATATGTTCTGCTGTGGCTTTTTCTTCATTTAGAAGTAAAGCGGTTGCTTCCTTGGGATCGAGAGATATTGTTTCAGTTTTGGGGACAGTTTCTATACTTTTTGGTGTTTTTGTTGTCGATTTAACGGCTTCTTTTGGAGGGCTTTCTTTGGTCACTCGACTAGTTGATGTTTTTGTTTTCCCGGAAATTGGTACTTTGGACGATTTATCAGTGGACGAGCGTCTAGTTGATTCTGGTGTTGTTTTGGTGTCTTGTTTTATGGCTTTAGTTTCTTTTGGAACACTTCCCGATTTTCTTCTTTCAGGTAAGACAGGACTGGCAGATGATTCTTTGATGGTTTTAGTGGTTTTTGTTACACTCGTCAAAGTTGTTGTTTTGACGGAGGTTACCGATTTGGAAATTTCTTGACCTGATTTTTTAACTTTTGTACTTGGAGGTGTTGTTTCTTTTGTTATCCTCTGAACTGTTGTGGTTTTCTTTGAAGCTTGATCTGAAGAATCTTTTTTACTATCTTTTGGCTTATCGGCTGCTTGACGTGCCTGTTCCTCTTCCTTCTCGGCTTGAACTTTCGTTTCATCCATAAAATCTTTCACATCACTGGTAACATCATCCACAACATTTTTCGCCCCTTTCACTATACCTGATATAAATCCTCCTGCTTTTTCCTTCGTCTTTTTAGTATCTGTATTAATTTTTTCTTTAGGAACAGATCCCGCTCTACCTGATGAATCAGAACCGGAGGATATTTTTCGTTGAACAGGTTTAAGATCCTTCTTGGCGGTTTTAGGAGTTGTATCTTTAGCGGCAGTTCTTTTAGCAGCTACAGGCGTTCCTTTAACTGATGATGGGGTAGCTGCTGATGATCCTTTAGCAGTTGAAGGTGCTCCTTTTGCAGCTCCTTTAGTTTTATCACCTTTTAATTTATCTTGATCGGAAATTTTCTTTGAAGTGATTGTTACATCAGTTTTAATTTTATCTTTAGTCTTCTTAATATTTGCTGCATTATCTGCGTCTTGAGCCTTTTTGTCATCACCTTTTGTAATATCCTCAGCTTTTTGTTGTAATGTTTCACTTGCTGTCGTTACAGTTTCTGAAATATCTTTAATACCAAAATCTAGAGAATCAGAAACTTGTGTTAGTGCCGATTCACTACTATCTTGAATTTTTTCAGCAGCGTCATGAACATCTTTTGATATTTCTTGTTTCGTTTTCTCAGTTGAAGTCTTAATATCAGAAATAACCTTATCTTTGGTGTCTTTGATGTCCTTGCTTACAGTTTCAACAGTTTTGCGAGTTTTTTCTTCCTCTAATTCAGCTTCGTGCTTTGTATCATCTAAAAATTCTTTTACGTCATCAGTAACTTCGTCAACTGCATGTTTTACTCCCTTTATTATGCCAGAAAAGAAACCACCTGATTTATCCTTCACTTTCTCGGTATCACTTGCTGCTTTTTCTTTTATATTTTCTGCACTTTCTTTCATGCCGGAAACTACAGTTTCTTTAGATCCTGTAATATTCTTTGTTGCATCATCCTTTGTCTTTTGGGCACGTTCCTTTCCTTTCTTTTTCTGTTTTTTCGCAACATCAGTTCCATCTTTTTCGTCTCTATCAGATTCTTCTGATGAATGTTTACTTCCTTTGAATATTCCTGAAAAGAGGCCACTCGCTCTATCCTTAGCCTTTTTGGATTCTTTTGCAGCTTTATCTTTAACGGCAGCTGCAGATTGTGAGACGGCTTCAGCTTCAGATGTTAATTTGTCATCAATTGATTTTGCTGTTTCCTTTACTTCATGAGTCACATCTGCAGTTGTCTTTGATACTTTTTCATCTAGATCTTTTACTTTTGCAGATACTGCTTGAGAACCATCATCTACTGCTTTTTTCACACTATCCAAAGAATCTTTAGTTTCAGAGACAACCTTATCCTTTATGTCCTTTGCATCCTGAGATAAAGCACTGGCAGCTTTTTTGGCCCGTTCTTCCTCCAGTTTAGCTTCGTGTTTTGTCTCGGCTAAGAATTCTTTTACATCATCTTTAACTTCGTCAGCTGTTTGTTTGGATCCTTTAAATATTCCCGACAAAAAGCCACCAGCTTTATCTTTTGCTTTTTTGGATTCTTTAACTGCTTTATCTTTAACATCATGTGATTTTTCAGCTACTTCTGCAGCACCAGAGGACACCTTTTCTTTTATAGCGTTAGCGTCTTTTTCTACTTCATCAACTGCAGCTACGACACCTTGAGAAATTTTCTCTCCTGCTTCGGATACTTTGTCCTTTACTTTATCAGCTGCATCTTTGGTTTCTGATAACAGTTTTTCTTTAGTTTCTTTAACATCTGACACTATGCTATCTTTAGTTTCCTTTACATCCTTTGAAAACTTTTCTGCTTTTTCATGAACCTTTTCTTTCCCCTTTTCAGCTTCTTTTTTCGTTTCATCAACAAATTCTTTTACATCATCTGCAGCTCCTTCTGCTGCTTGCTTAGTTCCTTTGAAAATACCGGAGAGGAAACCACCCGCTTTATCCTTTGCTTTTTTTGTTTCCTTAACAGTTGTCTCTTTTGCGTCATCAATTTTATGTGAAAGAGATTCTACACTGGATCCTACCTTCTCTTCCACAATTTTAACATCTTTCTTTACGGCTTTAATTGAAGAATCTTTAGCTTCGTCAATTTCTTTTGCTGCTTTTTCAGTTGATGTCTTTACATCAGCAATAGTTTGTGCCGCTCCTTTTGAAACTTTCTCACCAGCGTCTTTTAATTTTTCTGTTGCATCTTGAGCCTCGTCTGAAATCTTCTGTTTTACTTTATCAGCTGAATCTTTCAGATCAGAAACAGCCTTATCTTTAGTGTCCTTTATATCCTTACTCAAATCTTCCATTGCCTTGCGTGACTTTTCCTCTTCTAATTCTGCTTCATGCTTGGTTTCGTCCAAAAATTCTTTGACGTCACCTGTAACATCATCTACAGCATGTTTGGCTCCTTTGAATATTCCAGAGAAGAAACCACCTGCTTTGTCTTTGGCTTTTTTACCTTCCTTCTCAACTTTATCCTTGGCATCATCAGCAACTTTAGAAGCAGTTTCTACACCTGTTGTAATTTTGTCTCCTACTATTTCTGCATCTTTTTTCACTTCTTGAACAAGAGAAGTTTTTGCTTCTTTCATGTCATCAACAGTTTTTTCAATTTCCTTTCCAGCTTTATCACCTGTGTCTTTAATATCTTTAGCAATTTCATCAACAAGTTTACGTGCTAGTTCTTCTTCTCGTTCATCTTTCTTTTTCCCCTCTTCCGCAAGTTCTTTAACATCCTCTGCAAGATCATCAGATGTATGCTTAGCTACCTTGAATATGCCGGAGAAAAATTTGCCACTCTTGTCCTTGGCTTTTTTAGTTTCCTTCTCTGCTTTGTCCACAACAGTGTCCAATGCATGCGCTGATCCAGTTGTAACTACTGCTATTTTTTCATCAACAACCTTAGCATCATGTTTTACTTGATCAACAAAAGTGTCTTTAGGATCTTCGGCAGTTTTTCGAACATCTTCCAAAAATTTAGCTGTAATAATTTTTGCTTCTTCATCTCCGCTGTCAAATGAAGTGTCTTGTGAGGAATACTTGTCTTTAGATTTACTCCTCTTTTTGTGAGATTTAGGACTCTTGAAAATGCCAAAGAAACCGCCACTCTTTTCTTTTCCTTCATCAGAAGAATAAGTACTGTCATCTAATTTAGCTGGATGATGCTTTACAACTCCGCCAGGACTAGGAGATTTCTTTGTATCTTCTAAAAATTCTTTTGTAGTAGACTTAACATCTTTTATGATCTTCGTTTCAGCTGACGACAAATCTTTCTCTACTCCTAATGCTTTTTCCTCCACTGCTTTAACGTCTTGTTCAATTTGTCTAACAGTAACATCCTTCTCGTGCGAAAGTCCATCGACAATTCCTTTTGTAGTTTTCTTTAAGTCTTCAGTTACCTCTGCAGTCTCCTTTGATAACTGATCACCAGCTTTTTTAACTTTTTCAGATACTGCTTGTGAATCGGCTGATATTTTTGCCTTTGCTTTTTCAGTGGATTCCTTCACTTCTGAAATTACCTTATCTGTTGAATCTTTAACTTCCTTAGCAAGTTCTGCAGCAGCTTTCTTAGCACGTTCTTCTTCTAATTCTGCATCATGCTTCGTCTCATCCAAAAAGTCCTTAACGTCATCAGTAACTTCATCTACTGCATGTTTGGCTCCCTTAAATATTCCCGAAAAGAAACCACCAGCTTTATCTTTTGCTTTTTTGGCTTCTTTTGTGGTTTTATCTTTTGCGGCTTCAGCAGTGTCTGAAACTGCTTCTGCTCCGGATTTTATTTTCTCTTCAACAATCTTAGCATCTTTCTTTACTTCCTTTACAGCAGACTCTTTGACATCGGCAACGCCTTGAATTACTTTCGAACCTGCATCCTTGGCAGTATCTACAGCTACGGCAGCATCAGTTGCAACTTTCTGACTTACATCTTTAATTGCATCAGTCATTCCTTGTGTTTTCTCCTCTACTTTTGATTTAGTTTTTTCAGTTGCCATTTCAACATCAGACAAAACTTTTTTACCTCCATCTTTAGTGTCTTCGATAACTTTCTCACCAGCTTTCAAAGCTTTATCCTTCTTTTTTGCAGCGTCCTCTTTAGTTACATCCACAAATTCTTTGACATCATCAACAACATCATCTGCAGCATGTTTGGAACCCTTGAACATTCCAGATAGAAAACCACTTGCCTTATCTTTTGCTTTCTTAGCCTCCTTTGTAGTTTTGTCTTTTGCAGCCTCAGCAGATTCTGAAACAGCTTCCGCGCCTGATTTAACTTTGTCTGCTGCAATTTTAGCATCCGCTTTAATTTCTTTCTTGACAGCGTCCTTTGCGCCATCCAATTCTTTTTCAATTTTAGTACCTGCATCCTTAACAGAATCAGCTGCACTTTCGACTCCATCAGAAACTTTCTTACCAGTCTCTGTCACTGCATCTTTTGCGTCCTGTACCTCGTCTTTGACTTTCTGCTTTGCCTTATCCAGAGAACTTTCAATATCTGCAGATACCTTATCTTTAGCGTCTTTAATTTCATCAGCAGTATCTTTAACACTCTTAACAGCTTTATCTTTGGTGTCTTTTGCGTCCTTTGCTAATTTTTCAGCAGCTTTTTTAGCTCGTTCTTCTTCTAATTCTGCTTCATGTTTTGTTTCATCTAAAAATTCTTTTACATCATCCGTAACATCATCTACTGCATGCTTGGCTCCTTTGAATATTCCTGAGAAGAATCCACCAGCCTTATCCTTAGCTTTTTTGGCCTCTTTTGCAGTTTTATCTTTTGCAGCATCCGTCGTTTCTGAAATAGCTTCTGCTCCGGATTTAATTTTGTCTGCAGCAATCTTGGTGTCCTCCTTTATTTCATCAGCAATAGCATCCTTAGCGTCTGTGATTCCTTTTGTCACTTTAGATCCAGCATCTTTTACAGCATCTGTTGCAGAATCGACTCCATCAGAAACTTTTTTACCAGTTTCTTTCACTGAATCTTTTGCCTCCTTTATATCCTCTTTGACTTTCTGCTTTGCCTTATCCACTGAGCTATCAATTTCTACGGCCGCCTTGTCTTTTGCTTCCTTAATCTTATCAGTTGTGTCCGTAACAGTTTTTACAGCTTTATCTTTCACGTCTTTTGCATCTTTAGCTAGTTCTTCAGCAGCACGTTCTTCTTCTAATTCTGCTTCGTGCTTTGTTTCATCTAAGAAGTCTTTGACGTCATCTGTAACATCATCTACTGCATGCTTGGCTCCTTTGAATATTCCAGAAAAGAACCCACCAGCTTTATCCTTTGCTTTCTTAGCTTCTTTAGATGTTTTGTCTTTTGCTGCTTCTGCTTTTTCTGAAACAGCTTCTGCCCCTGATTTAATTTTATCTGCCGCTATCTTCGCATCTTCCTTTATTTCTTTAGCAGCAGCAGCATCTTTTTTCTCCTCCACTTGTTTCGAAATTTTTGAACCTGTATCTATCACAACATTCGTAGCAGAATCTTTGACATCTACAATGTCTTGAACTACTTTCGAAGCAGTGTCCTTTGCCGAATCAACACTTGCAGCAATTTTCTTTGATGCATCATCTCCAACTTGTTTTACTGTATCGATTTCTTCTACAACTTTCTTTGTCATATCTTCTTTAGTCTGTTTTATTGCATCTGATGCAGCTTGCACTTCATCAGAGACCTTCTGCTTCGTTTTATCCAAAGAACTGTCGACGTCGGAAATAATTTTATCTGTAGTGTCTTTAACTTTTAGGGTTGTATCTTTAACACTGTCTGTTATCTTATTCTTAGCTTCATCTGCATCTTTAGATAGGTCCTCAGCAAACTTTCTCGCTCTCTCTTCCTCTAGTTGGGCTTCCTCACGTGTTTCATCGAGAAATTCTTTTACATTGTCTGTTGCATCATCAGCAGCATGTTTAGCCCCTTTAAACATTCCAGAGAAGAATCCACCAGCTTTATCCTTAGCTTTTTTCGCTTCTTTAGTTGTTTTATCCTTTGCTGCTTCTGCTTTGTCCAGAACTGCATCCTTTCCAGATTTTACTTTGTCCTTCACAACCTTAGAGTCCTTCTTAACTTCTTCTTCGACAGCAGATTTCGCGTCAATCACACCTTCGGCAACTTTTGAACTCGCATCTTTAACAGCATCAGTTGCAGTCTCAACCTTTTCCTTTACAATTTTAGTAGTATCCTTTACATGTTCTTGTGCGTCTTTTGCCTCATCTCCAAGTTTCTGCTTTGCTTTATCTACAGAACTGTCCAAATCAGAGACAATTTTATCTTTTGTTACTTTAACAGATGCAGCAGTATCCTTAACGCTTTCAGTTACTTTGTCTTTGACTTCTTTTGCATCTTTAGCTAATTCTTCAGCAGCTTTACGAGCTTTTTCTTCTTCTAATTCTGCTTCATGCTTGGTTTCGTCCAAAAATTCTTTGACGTCACCTGTAACATCATCTACAGCATGTTTGGCTCCTTTAAATATTCCAGAAAGGAAGCCACCAGCTTTATCCTTTGCTTTCTTAGCTTCTTTAGATGTTTTGTCTTTTGCTGCTTCTGTTTTTTCTGAAACAGCTTCGGCTCCGGATTTAATTTTGTCTGCGGCGATCTTGGTATCCTCCTTAATTTCTTTAGCAACTGCATCTTTTTTGTCTTCCAATTCTTTCGAAATTTTTGAACCAGCGTCTTTCACAGCTACGGCTGCATCCTTAACAGCATCAGCTGCACTATCGACTCCTTCAGAAACTTTCTTACCAGTCTCTTTCATTGCATCTTTTGTGTCCTGTACATCCTCTTTAACCTTTTGTTTTGCCTTATCAAGAGAACTATCAATATCTGATGAAACTTTCTCTTTTACGTCTTTAATCTTCTCAGTTTTGTCCTTAACGCCTTTAACAGCTTTATCTTTTGTGTCTTTTGCATCCTTAGCTAATTTTTCGGCAGCTTTCTTAGCACGTTCTTCTTCGAGTTCTGCTTCATGCTTTGTATCATCTAAAAATTCTTTGACGTCATCTGTAGCATCATCCACTGCATGCTTGGCTCCTTTAAATATACCAGAAAAGAATCCACCAGCCTTCTCCTTTGCTTTTTTGGCTTCTTTAGCAGTCTTCTCTTTTGCATCATCTACACTATGTTCAACTGTTTTAGCTCCTTCTGATACTTTATCTTTAACAACATTTACGTCCTCTTTTACTTCCTTTACAACAGAATCTTTTGTATCCTTTAAATCTTGTGCCATTTTCGATCCTGCATCCTTTACTGCATCCTTTGCTAATTGTGCGTCGTGGGAAATGATTTCTTGAGTTTTCTCACCCTGCTTTTTCAAATCAGTTAAAAATTGTTCTGTAGCTTTCTTTGTATCATCAACTACTTTTTCTCCTGTCGCTTGCAACATTTCCTTTTCTTTCTCCGCTTTCTTCTTCGAGTCATCTGATAATTCTTTAACGTCTTCTACGACACCGTCTTTTACTTGTTTGGCGCCTTTAAACATTCCTGATAGAAAACCACCTGCTTTGTCCTTTGCTTTCTTTGATTCTTTAGAAACTTTCTCTTCAACTACTTCAGCTGTTTGGACTAAAGTTTCTGCTCCAGATTTAACTCTTTCTTCGACTAAATGAACATCTTTGTTAATTTCACCAATTGCAGCATCTTTTGCATCAACAACCTTTTGGGCAGACTTTGAACCTGCGTCTTTCACAGATTCTGTGGTGGCCTGGATTCCATCCGATACTTTTTTTCCCGCATCTTGTACTGCATCCTTAGCCACATCAACTTTGTCAGTAACATGCTGCTTTGCCTTATCAAGTGAGATATCAATATCTGATGATATTTTGTCTTTGCCTTCTTTAATTTTATCAGCTGTTTCAGTAACAGCTTTAACAGCTTTATCTTTGGTGGCCTTTGCGTCTTTACCTAAATCTTCTGCTGCTTTTCGTGCACGTTCTTCTTCTGCTGCTGCTTCCTGCTTTGTCTTGTCCAAAAATTCTTTCACGTCATCTGTAGCATCATCAACAGAGTGTTTGGCTCCTTTAAATATTCCAGAAAGGAATCCACCTGCCTTGTCTTTTGCTTTCTTGGCTTCCTTGGTAGTTTTATCCTTCGCTGCATCTGCTTTCTCAGAAACAGCATCCGCTCCTGATTTTAGTTTGTCTGCAGCTTTTTTAGTATCTTCCCTCACTTCTTTTACTACTGCCTCCTTTGTGTCATCTAAACCTTTTGCAACTTTAGAACCGGCGTCTTTCACAGCATCTGCTGTAGTTTCCACTCCATCAGAAACTTTTTTACTAGCATCTTTTACTGCATCCTTTGCGTCATGTACCTCCTCTTTCACCTTTTGCTTAGCCTTATCCAATGAGGTATCAATATCCGCTGATACTTTGTCTTTTGCATCTTTAATATTCTCAGTTGTATCTTTAACGCCTTTGACGACTTTGTCTTTAGCATTTTTGGCATCTTTCGCTAAATCTTCAGCAGCTTTTTTAGCTCGTTCTTCTTCTAATTCTGCTTCATGTTTTGTTTCATCTAAAAATTCTTTTACATCATCCGTAACATCATCTACTGCATGCTTGGCTCCTTTGAATATTCCTGAGAAGAATCCACCAGCCTTATCCTTAGCTTTTTTGGCCTCTTTTGCAGTTTTATCTTTTGCAGCATCCGTCGTTTCTGAAATAGCTTCTGCTCCGGATTTAATTTTGTCTGCAGCAATCTTGGTGTCCTCCTTTATTTCATCAGCAATAGCATCCTTTGCGACTGTGATTGCTTTTGTCACTTTAGATCCAGCATCTTTTACAGCATCTGCTGCAGAATCGACTCCATCAGAAACTTTTTTACCAGTTTCTTTCACTGCATCTTTCGCATCCTCTACATCCTCTTTGACTTTCTGCTTTGCCTTATCCAATGAGCTGTCAATTTCTGTTGTCACTTTGTCCTTTACATCTCTAATCTTGTCAGTTGTGTCCGTAACAGTTTTTACTGCTTTATCCTTGGCGTCTTTTGCATCTTTAGCAAGTTCGTCCGCAGCTTGTTTAGCACGTTCTTCTTCTAATTCTGCTTCGTGCTTTGTCTCATCTAAGAATTCTTTGACGTCATCCGTAACATCATCGACCGCATGCTTGGCTCCTTTGAATATTCCAGAAAAGAACCCACCCGCTTTATCCTTTGCTTTCTTAGCTTCTTTAGAAGTTTTGTCCTTTGCTGCTTCTGATTTTTCTGAAACTGCTTCTGCTCCTGATTTAATTTTATCTGACGCAATTTTGGTATCCTCCTTAATTTCCTTAGCAACTTTGTCTTTTGTGTCATCTAAACCTTTTGCAACTTTAGAACCCGCGTCCTTCACAGCATCAGCTGCAGTCTCCACTCCATCAGAAACTTTTTTACTAGCATCTTTTACTGCATCCTTTGCGTCATGTACCTCCTCCTTCACCTTTTGCTTAGTCTTATCCAATGAGGTATCAATATCTGCTGATACTTTGTCTTTTGCATCTTTAACTTTCTCAGTTGTATCTTTAACGCCTTTGACGACTTTGTCTTTAGCATCTTTGGCATCTTTAGCCAAATCTTCAGCAGCTTTTTTAGCTCGTTCTTCTTCTAATTCTGCATCGTGCTTTGTCTCATCCAAGAATTCTTTGACGTCATCCGTAACATCATCGACGGCATTCTTGGCTCCTTTGAATATGCCGGAAAAGAACCCACCAGCTTTATCCTTTGCTTTCTTGGCTTCTTTTGCAGTTTTGTCTTTTGCTGCATCTACTTTCTCTGAAACTGTTTCCGTTCCAGATTTAACTTTTTCAGCCGCAATCTTGGTGTCCTCCTTGATTTCTTTTCCAATAGCATCCTTCGTGTCATCAATGCCCTTTACTATTTTTGAACCAGTATCTTTAACAGCTTCAGCTGCAGTGTCTACTTCTTCAGAAATTTTCGTTCCGGTATCTTTCGCTGCAACTTTCATTTCATGTACCTCATCTTTTACATTTTCCTTTGCATCCTTCACAGAACTGTCAATATCTGCTGATAGTTTGTCCTTTTCGTCTTTAATTTTGTCAGCAGTATCTTTAACACTTTTAACTGCTTTGTCTTTAGTATCTTTTACTTCTTTAGCCAAATCTGAAACTGCTTTATCAGTTGCTTCTTTGACACTCGCTGCAGTATCTTTAACCCCTTCCACAGCTTTATCTTTTGTTTCTTTTACATCTTTAGCTAATTCTTCTGCTGCCTTTCGTGCACGTTCTTCCTCTGCTGCTGCTTCCTGCTTTGTCTTGTCCAAAAATTCTTTCACGTCATCTGTAGCATCATCAACAGAGTGTTTGGCTCCTTTAAATATTCCAGAAAGGAATCCACCTGCCTTGTCTTTTGCTTTCTTAGCTTCCTTGGTAGTTTTATCCTTAGCTGCATCTGCTTTCTCAGAAACAGCATCCGCTCCTGATTTTAGTTTGTCTGCAGCTTTTTTAGTATCTTCCCTCACTTCTTTAACTACTGCATCCTTTGTGTCATCTAAACCTTTTGCAACTTTAGAACCCGCATCTTTCACAGCATCTGCTGCAGTTCCCACTCCATCAGAAACTTTTTTACTAGCATCTTTAACTACATCCTTTGCGTCATGTGCCTCCTCCTTCACCTTTTGCTTAGCCTTATCCAATGAGGTATCAATATCCGCTGATAATGTGTCCTTTGCATCTTTAATTTTCCCAGTTGTATCTTTAATGCCCTTAACAGCTTTGTCCTTAGTTTCTTTTGCATCTTTAGCTAATTCTTCAGCAGCTTTTCGAGCTTTCTCTTCTTCTAATTCTGCTTCGTGCTTGGTTTCGTCCAAAAATTCTTTGACGTCACCTGTAACATCATCTACAGCATGTTTAGCTCCTTTAAATATTCCAGAAAGGAAGCCACCAGCTTTATCCTTTGCTTTCTTAGCTTCTTTAGATGTTTTGTCTTTTGCTGCTTCTGCTTTTTCTGAAACAGCTTCTGCCCCTGATTTAATTTTATCTGCTGCTATCTTGGTATCCTCCTTAATTTCTTTAGCAACTGCGTCTTTTGTGTCATCAATTCCTTTTGCTATTTTAGAACCAGTATCTTTTACAGCAGCTGTTGCTGTATCGACTTCATCTGATACTTTTTTGCCAGTATCTTGTACTGCATCTTTTGCATCTTTCAATCCTTTTTCGGCTGATTCTTTAACTGCGGATGCTGCTTTTTCAGAACTGGATTTGATATCTTCTGTTGTTTTTTTCGTATCTTTTTTTGTTTTTGTAATCATTTCGTTTACATCTGATACCTCCTCCTTCACCTTTTGCTGAGCATTATCCAATGAGGTATCAACATCTGCTGATACTTTGTCTTTTGCATCTTTAATCTTCTCAGTTGTATCTTTAACGCCTTTGGCGACTTTGTTAACATCTTTGGCATCTTTAGCTAAATCTTCAGCAGCTTTTTTAGCTCGTTCTTCTTCTAATTCTGCTTCATGTTTTGTTTCATCCAAAAATTCTTTTACATCATCCGTTACATCATCTACTGCATGCTTGGCTCCTTTGAATATTCCTGAGAAGAATCCACCAGCCTTATCCTTAGCTTTTTTGGCCTCTTTTGCAGTTTTATCTTTTGCTGCTCCCGCTGTATCTGCAACAGCTTCTGCTCCGGATTTAATTTTATCTGTAGCAATCTTGCTGTCCTCTTTTATTTCTTCGGCAATAACATCCTTTGTGTCTGATAGCCCCTTTTCCATTTTGGATCCAGCGTCTTTTATAGCATCTGCTGCAGTCTCCATTCCATCAGAAACTTTTTTACTAGTCTCTTTCACTGCCTCTTTTGCATCCTTTACATCCTCTTTGACTTTCTGCTTTGTCTTATCCAATGAGCTGTCAATTTCTGTTGTCACCTTGTCTTTTCCATCTTTAATCTTGTCAGTTGTTTCCTTAACAGTTTTTACAGCTTTATCTTTGGCGTCTGTTGCATCTTTAGCAAGTTTCTCCGCAGCTTGTTTAGCACGTTCTTCTTCTAATTCTGCTTCGTGCTTTGTCTCGTCCAAGAATTCTTTGACGTCATCTGTAACATCATCGCCCGCATGCTTGGCTCCTTTAAATATTCCCGAAAAGAAACCACTAGTTTTGTCTTTTGCTTTCTTTGCTTCTTTTGCAGCTTTGTCTTTTGTTGTTGCAGCAGTTTCTGTTACCTTCTCAGCTTCTGATTTAATCTTCTCCTCTGCAATATTAACATCCTTCTTCAATTCTTTAACAGTTGCATCTGCCGTATCAGTAACAGTTTCGACAATTTTTGTACTTGATGTTTTAATTGTGTCGGCACCTTCTGCAGCTTTTTTAGAAATGTCGTCAACCGTGTGATCAACTGTTTTCTGTACAGATTGTGCTTCTTTGGAAATTTTTTGTTTTGTTTTATCTAATGAGTCATCAACATCCGAAACTACTTTATCCTTTGCATCTTTAACCTTTCCTGCAGTCTCTTTAACGCCTTTGACTGCTTTGTCTTTAGTTTCTTTTGCATCTTTAGTCAAATCTGACACTACTTTATCCTTTGCATCTTTCACCTTTTCTGTAGAATCTTTAACGCCTTTGACTGCTTTGTCTTTAGCGTCTTTAGCCTCCTTCGCCAAATCTTCAGCAGCTTTTCGAGCACGTTCTTCTTCTAATTCTGCTTCATGTTTTGTTTCATCCAAAAATTCTTTGACGTCATCTGTAACATCATCGACAGCATGCTTGGCTCCTTTGAGTATTCCAGATAAAAATCCACCTGTTTTCTCTTTAGCCTTCTTTGCTTCTTTGGAAGTTTTATCTTTCGCTGCTTCTGCCGTTTCTGATACAGTTTCTGCCCCGGATTTGATTTTGTCCTTAACAATATCTGCATCTTTCTTTACTTCTTTAACTGCTGAATCTTTAGCATCAATAACAGTTTGTACAGCTTGTCCAGTAGCATCTTTTGCTACATCAGCGGTGTCCTTCAGGTCCTTTGAAATCTGTTTTGAAACATCAGATGCTTTTTCTGACACTGCTTGTGCGTCTTCGGTTATTTGTGTTTTAGCTTTTTCTTTTGCTTCCTTTAATTTTTCTTTTGTATCGTCTACATCTTTCACTAGACGATCTTTCACGTCTGTTATATCTTTCTTAGTCTCGTCCACTACTTCTTGTACACTATCTGCTGTATCATCAGCTGCACTTTTTGCTCCTTTGAAAATTCCGGATAAGAAACCACCTGCTTTATCTTTAGCCTTCTTAGCCTCCTTTGCACTCTTGTCCTTAACATCCGCAGCTGCGTCTGCTACTGTTTCCGCTCCTTGTGTTATTGTATCCTTTACGGCTTTTGCATCCTTTTTCACTTTCTGAACACTCTTGTCTTTTGTATCAATAATATCTGTAGCAATCTTATCTCCAGTTGTTTTAACAGTTTGGGCCGTATCTGTCAATTTTTCTTTTGTTTCGTCTACAGTTTCTTTTAAATCAGAAACAACTTTATCTTTCGCATCTTTAACATCAGTGGATAAATCTTCCGCAGCTTTTTGTAGACTATCTTTCCCTTTCTCGGCTTCTTTTTTTGTGTGATCAATCGTTTCTTTAGTGTCGTCTGCAATTTCATCCGCAGTGTGTTTTGCGCCTTTGAAAATACCAGATAGAAATCCACCAGCTTTATCTTTAGCTTTTTTGGATTCCTTAGCAGTCGTGTCTGCAACGTCTTTTGCTGCCTTTTTGCTTCCATCTTTTAGTGCCTCCATGTCGGTCGACACTTTTTCTTCAGCACTTTTAACTTTTTCAGCTGCTGAATCAACTTTTTCTTTCACTACATCTGTTGCAGTCTTTATTTCAGAAGTTGCCTTCTCTTTAGAATCTTTAACATCCTTCGCTAATTTGTCAGCAGCTTTTCGAGCACTTTCTTCTTCTAATTCTGCTTCGTGCTTTGTTTCATCTAAAAATTCTTTGACGTCACCTGTAACATCATCGACAGCATGCTTGGCTCCTTTGAATATTCCCGACAAAAATCCACCTTTGTCCTTAGTCTTCTTGGTTTTGTCTTTCATTGGATCGGCACCTTCGGATCCTTTTTCAATTTCCTCTGATGCTTGTTTAGGTATTTTTATTGCCGAATCTGTAACGTCTTGTGATGCAATATCTTTAGCGTCATCTTTAGCTGATTTTTTCATCTCTTCATAAAATGCGTATGACTTGTAAGGACACGCGTCTATTTCTCCTGCTATTTTTCTGCTGTCTTCCAAGAATTTAGCGGTTGCAATTCGTACCTCCTCATCGCCACTGTCAAAGGACGTGTCTCTCGATGTACTTTTATCCTTGGATCTACTTCTCTTCTTTAGGCCTCTAGGACTCTTGAACATACCGAATATCGTGCTACCTTTTTCTTTCGATTCTTCTTTGGGTAACTCGGTTGGTTTATCTTCACCAGAGGTTTCTACAATGGTAACAATTTTCACTTGTTGAACCGGAACAGGTTCGTAGAATTTATCCGCATGTTTCTTGGTATCCTCTAGTAATTGAGCAGTCTGAAGTCTTAAATCAGCATCGGAAACATCGACCGACGCTTCTTTAGACGAATCTTTAGAAGATGGTTCTCGAGATTTACTTCGTTTTCGGCTCTTTAGCTTTGGACTTCTAAAGATACCGAAGAAGCCACTCGATTTTTCTTGACTGTCATCTTGACTCTCGTCTTCAGTTGTCGCGGGTTCAGAACTCACAAGTGATTTTTGCTTTATCACCTTCTCTTCCTTTGGTATTTCCGAAATATTGTACGATGATCCTTTAAGTTTATCTGTAGGTGCATCGGAATCATAATTACTGTATGCTGAAAATCGGCCCAGCTCCTCGTCGACTCTGGAATCGGGTTTGTCTATGAAGGGCAAATCGGGTGATCCAGCATTCCTTCGAACGTCCTCTAGAAACTTGGCTGTTGTGATTCTGACTTCATCATCACCACTCTCAGCTGATGAATCCTTCTCCTTTGATTTACTCCGTCTCTTGTCCTTTGATTTCGGACTTCTAAAGATTCCGAAGAATCCACTTGGTTTGTCTTTCTCTTCCTGGGCTGTGTCACTTTTCTTAGGTTCCACACTTTCTGGAACAGTTTCGCCAAATCTTGCAGCAGCTTTTTTGGAGTCGTCCAAAAATATCGCGGTCGCTGTTTTCACGTCCTGGACAGATTTCGTGTCATGCAAATGGACACCATTAGTTAACATTTCAGAATCGTCTGCAATTCTTCTTGTATCGTCCAAAAATTTAGAAGTCATTATTCTCGTTTCCTCATCTCCACTATCGAATGAAGAGTCTTTTGAGTCCTTGGACTTTTTCCCCTTTGATCCCTTAAATATCCCTGAGAACATTTTTCCGGATTTATCTTTAAGTTTTTTATTCTCCATTTCAGATTTTTCTTTCGCCTCTTCCGCTGTTTGTTGCACTTTATCACCTGGTTTATCTTTATCCTCTTTTTGCTTCTTGCTTCCCTTAGAGTCTTTTTTCGTCGTCTCACTTACCGTTTTCGTTTTACCCTTAATACCTGACACTGATTCACCTAAATTATCACTTTTCGTTAAAGAATCTCTATCCCTAATTGGTCCACTTGTTTCTCTAGAACTATCTACACTGCTTTCAGCTATAATAATGGTTTGCTTATCCCCAGTTGTGTCTGGTTTTTGCAAAACCCGAGTCTCTATTGTCGTTACTGAAATTGTGGATGTTTTTGTAATTGTGTCGCTCATTTTTTCTAACTGTTTCCCTAAAGCGCCTCCTACCTCTTTACTACGTTGTTTATCGTCATCATAAACCACCGACCACCCTTCCATCGCTAACTTCCCCTTCTCTTTCTCAGCATCTTGTTTTACACCTGTTAATTAAGTATTACATTTTAGGATTCTAAAAATGTTATTAATATCTTATATTCACAGTTCATTTTTTTTTTATTTCATCATTAGTGTAAGCTGGCTAGCTTTTTTTTATAACGCTCATTTAAATATTGAGCAGTGGTTAAACTTCCACGTGGCTTGTGCGTGGTGTATGTGCTGTGGAGCAGCCATCTATCAACTACAAATGCGGTTAAAAATGCTGATTTTTTTTTAAAATAATGATAACTAATTAGGGTGATCCTTAATATTCAAAAATTTTCCATCAAGTTTTGTTTTCATTTCCTCAAAAAGTAAACATAGTGACAAAAAAATTGTGTTACTGTGCTTTTACACAAAAGAAGAGTAGAATATTTGTCTAGTAAATGTTATTAAGATGATTATGATGTATTATGATCATGTTTACAATTCAAAAAATTGAAATCAATTCTTCACTAGAAGGATAAAATAGTTTAAGAATCACCCAACTACACATTAACATTCACTCTAAAAAAATAACATTGAGAAAATGAAAGAGCACCTTTTCTTTTGATGCCAATTCATAAGAAAGAAAAAAATACTCTAAGAAAGAGAAAAATTTGAAATTCATTTCTATTATGAATATTTGATTGCTTCTTTTAATTACACAGTCTTCATGTTACATACATTAAAAATATTTGCAATTGTCATGTAAAAAAATACTAAAATCTATTAGTTGATAGTTAGATCGCGAAAAACAAAGCAGCACTTTTTTTTGTACTGAATCAATAGTCATTATTTTTGAGTATAAAATTTTTAACTCCTTTTGATTCTCATTTTTTTTTTTTTTAGTAATATTAATATAAAAATTCTTGAATAGTATGAATCTCAAGTTAAAAATTAAAATCAAAAAAACAGCGAGAAAATCGCTTATTTAAAAAAAAATTGACAGCTGCTCCGTGTGCCCACACAGGCTGTACATGCAACGCCAAATAATTGCAGCGCAACCTTTTTTGCTGAAACAAATTAATGAAGTGAAAATAGTCCAAGAGCAAATATTAGTAGGTCAATAAATCAGAAAACTTGTGTTGCGCATTAAAAAGGCTTTTTTTGTATAAAGAAGAACTAAAAAAAAAATTTCGTTGTAAGCCAAGAAAAAACTTGTTATTTGATAAGCAAGCTTTTTTTGAAACACGAAGAAAACTGCATCTGCTTCCAGAAACCTGCTAGTGAAATTTAAAAAAACAACGAGGTTACAGTTTGAAAAAAAAGCTTTAAGAAATTCTGTCATATCTTCTTTTGAATTAAAAAAAAGAAAGATATACAGAGAAGCCGCAACAATTTTTTTTTTTAATCATTAAAATATGAATCATATCCAAAATCATACATTATTGTTACATTCAATAAAATTAATTTATTTCCAAGTTATTCATGATTCAGAAGAGAGAAATGACGAATTTATTTCATTAGAAATATGATTAATTCAATTAGGAATTTTTATTAAAATTTTATTACTCTAACAATTATAAAGATTTAAAAGTAATCTAAATTATACAATCATAAGTATAATTATACTATAATAAGTAAGTAATCAATTTAAATCCAATTGACTGAAAATGAAAATGATTTCATATTTTTAAGCTCTAGTGTAGGAAAATTGAAAATCCTAGGAAATATTTCTTGTAATGTCTTAGGATTTAATATTATACCCACACGTAATTGAGATGACCATGCTTAAGAGAGTACTAAAGAAAGAACGTAATTAAAAAGAATGTGCTTCTTCAAAAAACATTTATTATTTTTTTGCTTGATAATTTTTATTAATAATATATATATAATAAATATATATGTATTTTTGAAAAAAAATTTTTATTATTTTTTTTGCTAGGCAAAGCACGGCCCCTCAACCCACCAAAAAAATTCCCATTTTTTTAACATGCAATTACTTACCGGAAACTAATTTGCTGGCGTCTGCAATTATTTGCTGTCGCTTTAAAAATTCATCGTCATCATCATCATCATGACTTATATTTGTCATGGGTTCTGATTCTTGATATTTATGGTGAATAAAATCAGCCATCATGTCTTCGAATTCTTTCTCATCACTGGCGTATTTGTCTTTCTTGGGGGTCGAGGTACCGTTGAATACAGTGCCGTTCGTGATTGTGACGTGCGGCTTTGCTGTTAAGTGCAAAAAATGTGTCAAAAAAGTTGCGAATAAAAAAGTAAAAAATATTTGTTTAAATAAAAAAATGTGTGAATCCCTCTTCACTTTTATTTCATTGAAAACAAAACAAATTCAAAGGAATATTTATTCAACAGAATTTATATTTAGAAGATATTTGGTTTTTTTTAAATATTTTTTTAGCTGAATTTATTCTACTTAAAGAAAATTCTGAAAAAACAGATATTCTCATATTTTTTTTTTTTTTTTGGATCGCTGAACCCAAATCTATGGTCAGAATTTAAAAATTCAAAATGGCGGCTTTAAAATGTCGACCGAAAAATCGAAAAGTTAGGAGAATTTGTCAGAAAATGATAACTCGGGGGTTTTTGAGGTCGTTGAACCCAAATTTTTTATCAAACTTTATAAATTCAAAATGGCCAGATTCGAAAACTTGAAAAGTTTTTGGTCGACATTTTAGAGCCGCCATTTTGAATTCCACTAAATAAAAATTCTGCCAAATAGAACTTTTGTGAAATAAATATTTGCCAAATAAAAATTTTGAGAAAAGAGACTTTTGATAAGTAGAAATTCCCTTTTATACAAATTTTGCAAAATAAAAATTTTGCTAAATGAAAATTCTGCGAAATAGAACTCTCGCAAAATAGAAATTTAAATAAAAATTTTGATAAAAATTAAATAGAAAATTTGGGAATTGAATATTTCCTTCAATAAAAATTCGGTTCAATATAAATAAAAATTTCACAAAATAAAAATTTTGCTAAATAAAAAACTTGCTAAATAAAAAATCTGCCAAATAGAATCTTGGCATTTTGCTAAATGAAAATTTGCTAAATTTTGGGAAATTGATTCTTGATAAATAGAAATTCTGTTACATATAAATTACGCGAAATGCAAATCATGCTAAATGAAAATTCTTCAAAATGACATTCTTGCTAAATAGGAATTTAAAGAAAAATTTATTGTTTAAATAGAAATTCTGTTAAATAAAAATTCGGTCAAATAGAAATTTTTGGAAACAAAAAATATGGCAATCAAAAATTCATATATATTTTTTTGCTTGTATATAATTATATTATTATTATTATTATTATTATATAATATATATATATTTATATTATTATTATTATTTATATTATTATTATTTTTGTATATAATTATCCAGATTAGAAAATTTAGCAATCTCAAATAAAAAATACTAAATATAAAATTTCCCTTAAATAAAAATCCAGTTTCATAAAAATTACATAAATAAAAAATTTCGCTGAATGGAAATTTCATAAAATAAAATTTTAGTCTAAATAAAAATTCTGTTAGATAAAAATTCAGCTTAATAAAAAATGTGACAAATAGAAATTTTCGCGAATATGAAACAGAGAAAATGTCACCTTATTTGTAATTTAATCAAATAATATTCGCCAAAATGAAAATTCTGTTAAACGAAAAATCTATTAAAAATTAAAAACAATATTTTAAATAGAATTTCAATTTTTACAGTAAATGAAAATTTCTCTAAATATAAAAGTGAAATAATTCAATAATATTAAAAGTGAAATTCGTAAAATAAAAATTAAATTAAATTTTGATTGAATGAAAATTTAGATTTCAAGGAATTCGACTTAATCAAATATAAATTAATATCACCTGAAATTCACCTAATGAAACCTAAACTACCTTGTGAAAATCCATTAAAAACGAATTAATGTCAAAAATTTCATTTTTATCTTTCTATAAAAAATAAAATGCCATTATTCGTTTAAAAATAGAAAACATAAAAAATAATTTAATAAAATTAATATTCGAATGCGAATAAAAACGCGTTTTCTTATAGGACGTTGCAAAATACCTTGTTCACAGGTTCCGATCTTGAATAATGAAGAAGAATTCACACAATTAAATGAAAGTTGAAATGCACACACTGACAGTTAAAATCCCTTTCATTACAAGAAAGAACGTCGAGTGAATGAAGCGAGTAAAAGTGTGACTGTTGTATAATGTGAGTCAGTGTAATTCGTGCTCATCACAGAAAGAGAGAGAGAGAAAAAAAAATTTGTTTTTCAGCATCACTGCAGCTTCTGCATAGTGACACATGCCGTGAATCATAAATTCTTATTGTCAATATCTTCTTTTAATATTTAAGAATTATTAATTTTATTAATTTTAAATTTCAACTTCACGTGGAGGTTTTTTCTTTGCTATTTTACATATATATTAAAGTAGATTTTTTTTATACTTAAAAAAAAAGATTGTAAATCAAAACATAAAAAAACAGAATTAAATTAAAAAGAATAAAAATTGAAAATTTTTGTATTTTTATCTTTTTTATACTATACGTGAAAAAATGGTGAGAAATTGAGAAAAAAAATTTGTTTCTTTCATGAAAAATTTGTTTAAAAAATTGAAATAAGGGAAAAAATAAAAAAAATAGTAAAAATGGTAAAAGTAGTAAAAATAGTAAAAATAGAAAAAATAGTAAAAATAGTAAAAATTGTAAAAATAGTAAAAATAAGGTGAAAAATTTGATTGAAATGAAATACTCACTTGGTTTTTCAGGTGTCGATGCAATGATAACAAGATCTTCTAAAGACTCCGAGTCCTGCAAGCAAAGAAGCACTCGGGTTAACTAAACGAAAATGAAGCTTCTTAGTCAATGATGTAAGTTTTAATGATTCTTTAAGGAGGGGACCGTAATAAGAACTTCGTTGAAGCTAATTTTAAGATTAAACACTCCATTATTCTAGAGCAATATATTAACAAGGCTGAGGAATTCCTGAGATTCCAAATGACAAGACCTTGACTAAAGTGAGCATCACTGTAGTTTTCTGCATTCTATATTTCTCACTCTTATTTTTTTCTTCTTTTTTTTATTTTTCTTCACTTATTTCTTATCGTATGAATTTAACTAAAGCGTGACGATTGAGTAAAGACCATTTATTTCAAAACTGGTTTAATGGACTTTACAAATACACTGAATTCATTTTAATTGTATTGTATTTTTCTTTTTTTTTCCTAATCTTGAATACAATTAAGATCGGGAATTCTTTTTTAATGTTCTTATAATTTGAAAGAAAAAGTGTGTATACATGTTGGAAAGAAAAACAATTGTAGGAAGCAAAGGAATTGTAAAAGTTGTTATTTTTTGTAGCAGGAATAAAGTTTAAATACAGTGTTTATTAATTGGGGTCCTTGTAAATAAAATGAAAATATTTCCGGGATAAATAAAGAAAATAAGAAAAAATACTAGGTAAAGTGAAAGATGAATGAAAAAGAGAAAATAGCTGAATAGAAAAAATTCAAAAAATAGAAAATACCCAGAAAGCTTGCGGCAAGCTTGCTTTACAAATTTTTCAAGCTTGCTGCAATCTTGCGGCAAGCAGAAGGTAAAATGAAATATTTCCTGGATAAATATGTAAAATAAAATCTATATTAATAATCGTTGTATTCGGGTAATTTTCAAAAACTTTTCTTTTGAAATATTTTCAATTTTAAAATTAATGTATTGAAAATCATTACATTTTTGCAAACAATTTTTATTAAAATTTTTGAAATCCTAATTAAATAATAAATAAAATAAAATTCTTCAGAAGAATTATTCTTCTAAAGAATTTCTTTAAATTTTTTTAAAATAATGGAGTTTTATTAATAATTTTAATTGAACATTTTGAAAGAAATTGAATTTTACGAAAAATTTCTTTCAAGTTTTTAAAATAATCGTGTTTCTTATTAATTGAAATTAATCATTTAATTATTTAAATATTTTATTAAAATTTTTAGAAAATAATTGAATTCTTCTTTAGAATTTTATTACAATTTTTTAAAAAATAATTAAATTCTTTTGATGAATTTCTTAAAGTTTTTTTTTTTTAATAATATAGTTTTTTGAATCATTTTAATTGAATATTTTAAACATAATTCAATTTTTTCAAAGGATTCATTAAAATTTTAGAAAATAATTAAATTTGTTTGAAAAGTAGGATTAAAAAAATCTGAATTATTTCATGAAATTTTATTAAAATTGTATTAAAAATAATTACCTATATTTTTGCAAAGAATTTTCCTATTTATAAAAATAATTGAATTGTTGCTAAGGATTTATTAAAAAATTTTTTAAACAATTGGATTCTTTCGAAAAATTTTACTAAAACTTTGAATTGTTTTGAAGGATTTATTAAAATTTTAAAAAATAATTGAATTCTTTTCGAAATTTTTATAACGAATTAAAAAAAATAAAATTTTTTCGTGAAATTTTATTTTTCAGAATTTTTCAGAAGGATTAATTAAAATTAAAGAAAAAAATTGAATTCTTTCGCGACATTTTATTAAAATCTTTTTAAAAAATTGAATTTTCGCCAAGGATTTATTAAAATTTTAGAAAATAATTGAATTTTTTTGAAAAATATTAAATTAAAAAAAAATCTGAATTCTTTCTTGAAATTTTATTGAAATTGCATTAAAAATAATTAAATTTTTGCAAAGAATTTTCCTATTTATAAAAATAATTGAATTGTTGCGAAGGATTTATTAAAAAAATTTTTAAATAATTTTATTCTTTCGAAAAATTTTACTAACAATTTTTAAAAATTTGAATTGTTTAAAAGAATTTATTAAAATTTTAGAAAATAATTAAATTCTTTTCAAAATTTTTATAACGAATTAAAGAAAATGAATTTTTTTTGAAAATAATTGAATTGTTAGAAGGATTTATTAAAATTTTAGAAAATAATTTAATTTTTTTGAAAAATATTATTTAAAAAAAATCTGAATTCTTTCATGAAATTTTATTAAAACTGTTAAAAATAATTTAGTTTTTGCAAAGAATTTTTCTATTTATAAAAATAATTGAATTGTTACAAAGGATTTATTAAAATTAACCATATTTTTAAAAATAATTGGATTCTTTCGAAAAATTTTTAAAAATTTGAATTGTTTCGAAGGATTTATTAATTAAAATTTTAGAAAATAATTGAATTCTTTTCAAAATTTTCATAAGGAATTAAAAAGAATTGAATTCTTTCTTGAAATTTTATTGCAAATAATTGTATTTTTTAGAAGGATTTATTAAAATTAAAAAAAATTGAATTTTTTCGCGAAATTTTATTAAAATTTTGTTGAAAATAATTAAATTTTTGAAAAAAATTTTACTGTTCATAAAAATTATATATTAATAAAGTAAAAGGACAAATAACAAAGAGAAAATAGCTGAATAGAAAAAATTTTAAAGATAGAAAATAGTTCAAATTTTTCAAGCTTGCAGCAAGATTACTTATTGTCTATGGCTAGATGAATAAAAATAGCCGAATAAGAAAAAGATCCTAAAAATTAAAATTCGATTTGATACCATCAAATTAAAAAATTATACCTAAGGAAAATTATTTAAAAAATTCTTACTTTCATTCGATCCGGCTCCTCATAATCCGGATCGAGTTTTGGATCAAGTGTGACATTCCGTCTGAGTGAAGTGTCCCTTGAAGGTCCCAATTCTTCCTTAAGTGAATCGAACCCAGGTTGATCAATTCTCACTTTGGCAACGGCTTTCTCAACATCGTCGGTCACAAGTTCAACGTTAAATATACACTTTTTCACAATATCATCACGACCAATTTTTTGTAACGCTTTCTCTAACGTATTACCTAAACAAAAACAAAAAAACCAAAATATTTATTTTTCACCCTCAAAAATAATTTTCCATCACTCACACAATAATTCATTACAAAAAAAAAAAAGAAATCCAACTCTCAGAGATCTTTTTCTCTATAGTTTAACAAATTATTAAAACACAATTTTCTCGCTGATGATGATGATGATTAATCAAACCTTTTTCACTTGAAATTCTCTGTTTTGGTGTCTTTCGGAATAATATCATTAAATCACTGGTGTATGAATTAGGAACGTCATTCTCATATTCCTGATACAATGTTATGTGCATATTTATAATTATAATGCTAATTAAAACGGGACTCTTGATATCGCGAATAATAAATTATGTGTGTGTGTGATATGAAAGGTTCACGACCCACCAGTAAAGTGTTGTTTTGTTCACTGAAATTTTCTCACTTCTTTTTTTGGGGGTGGGGGATTAATATCCAATGATAAGATTTGACGAAATTTGGCACTTAATCAGAAATCATTACTGCGATATTTAAACAGAGTTGATATAAAATAAAATTTATATAATGTTGAAGAGATGAAGCTTGTCGGATGGTCGGATAAATACTGAAGCTATATTGTTAGTTTGGACTGATTATAGTAATAATGTTACGCACAGTACAGGATAGCAATACAATTAGCTTGGTAGCGAAAAAAAATAGAGAGGGGAACAGGGACCCTGAGTTTATGTCAGGCATAATAATGAATGATGACATCATCAACTACGTTCCTTTGCACAGATTCCACATTAATGACTCAACTGGCGTACATTCTTGTTTATTTCACCTTGCTATCTTGTCGTGGATTCTAGATATTTTTAAATTCCACAAACGGTCTTAATACTCCTTTAGGCGGGAGAGACATGTACATCTATATTTAAACTCATCCACCAAATAAAAAAAAATACTTTTACTTCCCACTTCTTTTACGCATTCATTGAATAGCTTCACTTTCATAATATTTACATTTGGATAATCAATGAAATACATTACTTATCAATTATTGTGTTTTTAAAATTTTTTTCATTTACAACCATGCTGTATAATAAGATTTTCTTATTTGTTCATTGTAATTAGCTTTCAATTAAATGAAAATAGCTTGCCCTTTTTTATCTTTTATGCTATTTATATATTATTAGTACTTTTTTACTTACATTTTAATTATATTTTATTATCATTTGTGATTCCTTATTTTTCTTTACTTTTAATTAATTTTTAATACAGTTACCTTTCCTTTTTATTCAATTAAAGAATTTCTATATTCTGTCATTTCTTCATTTTTCGGAATTGTACGTTTAAAATTCAAATATTCTTTTTGTCGAATAGTGATAGAGATAAATAATTTATTAGAGAAATTTTTTTACTTCCTCGAAAATCTTTATAAAAATATAATATAGAAAGATTTATTAATCCTTTCTTTTCTTACGAAGAAAATGCAGAGCAAGGGTTTTCTATAAACTGCTTGAATGTGCAAAATCGAAAGATAATTTTTAATGTTTAAAATTCGCTACACTTTCCAAAAGTACAATTTCAACTTTTTAACATCCATTTTTAGAAATAAAGAATCCCATATTGCTACTTCTAAATCCATTTGAAAAATTAAAAAATGAATATTAAGAAAAAGAGCTCCATTTCCGGTTATTCTTAAGTGTGTGGAAAATTAAAAAATAATTTTTCCCCCCCAAAATCAACTATGGCTTCCCAAAGGACCACTTTTCTACTTGAAAATCCATTTTGAAAAATCAAAAAAGCTTTCTCCGTTCCGGAGAAATTCCAAATTGAATATTAAGAAATAAAAGCCCAATTGGCTGAAATTTATAAATTGACGAAAAATTGAAAAATTATTTTTTTTCTGTGAAATCAACTATGCTTTCTTGAAGTAAAATCATTCTTCTTCAAAATCCATTTTGGAAAATTAAAAAAGCTCTTTCTTCCTACGAGAAATCCAACATTGGATAATCCAAAAATATGACCGCAAATTAGGACTATATTTAATGCTGCTCAAAATCGAAAGATGATTTTTTTCCATAAAATCAACAATGGCTTCTGAAAGTACCACTTTTCTACTTAAGAATCCCTTTTTAAAAATTAAAAAAGCTTTCTCCGTTCCGGAGAAATTCATAATTGGGTATTAAGAAATAAAAGCCCAATTGGCTGAAATTTATAAGTTAACGAAAAATTAAAAAATTCTGTCTTTTCTGTGAAATCAATTATGGTTTCTTAAAGTAGAATCATTCTTCTTTAAAATCCATTTTGGAAAATTGAAAAAGCTCTTTTTTCCGACGAGAAATTCAACATTGGATACTCGAAAAATATGCCCGCAAATTAAGACTATATTTAATGCTGCTCAAAATCGAAAGATGATATTTTCCTCAAAATCAACTATGGCTTCTGAAAGTACCACTTTTCTACTTAAGAATCCATTTTAAAAAATTAAAAAAGCTTTCTCCGTTCCGGAGAAATTCATAATTGGGTATTAAGAAATAAAAGCCCAATTGGCTGAAATTTATAAGTTGACGAAAAATTAAAAAATTCTGTCTTTTCTGTGAAATCAACTATGGTTTCTTAAAGTAGAATCATTCTTCTTTAAAATCCATTTTGGAAAATTGAAAAAGCTCTTTTTTCCGACGAGAAATTCAACATTGGATACTCGAAAAATATGCCCGCAAATTAAGACTATATTTAATGCTGCTCAAAATCGAAAGATGATTTTTTCCTCAAAATCAACTATGGCTTCTCAAAGTACCACTTTTCTACTTAATAAACCCTTTTGAAAAATTAAAAAAGCTTTCTCTGTTCCGGAGAAATTCAAAATGGAATTTTAATAAAAATAGCTCAATTTTCGGTTATACTTAAATGTGCGTAAAATTAAAAAATAATTCTTTTTCTCCAATACAATTATGGTTTCTAAAAGTACCACTTTTCTACTTAAGAATACATTTTAAAAAATTAAAAAAGCTTTATCCGTTCCGGAGAAATCATACATTGGATAATTGAATTACAAGAGCACAAATTATGTCAATATTTAAGACTGTGCAATATCGAAAAATGATTTTATTCAAATGAGGACAATATGTTTTTTGGAAGTACTGTTCTTAACCTTGAAAATCTATTTTGAAGAAATAAAAAAGCTCTCTTCGTTGCCGAGAAATTCAAAATTGAATATTATTAAATAAAAGCTCAATTTTAATCTCTATTTATGTTGCTGTAAAAATCGATGATATTATTTTTTTAAAGTTTTCTGTAGCATTTGAAAGTTTATTTTCTCTTTAAAATCAAATTAAAACAATTAAAAAAGCTTTCTCCGTTTTTGAGAAATCTGACATTGGTTATTCAGAAAATCAGTGCACATCTTCGGACTACCTTCAAGATTGTATAAAATCAAAAGATAATTTCACATCATTAAGATTACTTCGGTTTCTGATAGCTATGGTTTATGAATGTACTATGTTTCTACTTTAACATTCAATTAAAACAATTAATAAAACTTTTTCCGTTTCCAAAAAATCTGACATTAAATATTTACAAAATAAAAGTACAATTGCTATTTGTATTTGAAGAACTATGAATTCAAGAAGTAATTTTTCTCGAAGAAGATAGTACTGTTTTCTTAAAATAATACTTTTAAGCTTTAACATTTATTTTGAAAAATTGAAAAAGCTTTCTCCGTTTCCGAGAAATATTCAATTGCATTTTTTTTTGTAATAAATTCGATTTTTTTTACTGCATTTCAAATAGTGCGAAATAAACATATTTTTTTTAAAGTTGTTGTGGTCATGAATGTATTATATCTTTTCAAAATATGAATTAATAAGAGAGTTAAACATTCCTTAGAGTTATGCAACGGCAATAATATACGCGCGAATGAGCTAAAGCAATTTTAGATCTTTGCTAATGAATTATTCAATCATTTTTGTGGACGTTAAACTTTCACACCTGTTACCAAGGATTCATCAGACTCTTTTAATTGAATTTTATATTTATTTTTAAACAATACAAAAATAAAACTTATCTTACCCGTTGCTTTATTTCCATCCGCTTTCCATACTTTAAACATAGCTGCAGCTTGCTGAGCAGGTTTATCAGGATATTCCTCTTTGATCTCCTCGACTTTTTTTGGACTGACATTTAATTCTGCTGCTAATTGCTCCCAATCGTTGTCAAGTAAATTTGCAATATCGGTCAGTCGAATTGTAGCTCTATGAAATGTGTCAGGTGTGCCTTAAATTTAAAATAGAAAATCATTCATGAATAATTTGGTCGAGGCAAAAAAATGATTCTTTTTTTAGATTTCTTTCGATTTTATAAATTTAGGTAAAAAATTAATTACTTATTCCGCCGTCTCGTAAGAAGCTATAGTTCTTCGACAATTCCAAGAGGTCCAATTGAGAAACGTTCGCGTCTGGTGAAATTCTTTCTGGTAAAAGAATATTTAACGTGCAAATTGGCGTTTGTGGCGGTTCGCCTTTCGCTACTTTTGGCTCGCTCATAAACATTATTCTTCCCATCATGTCCGCTGCATCAGGATCCTTTATCCTCACGGTAAAGGGAACTCGATTTTCCTTGAAACCCCGGAATGGTAATTGTAATTGTTCACCACTCTTCAATACAGGTACCAAGTTACCAGCGAATTCCATGTATTGAGTTTTACCCTCAAGAACCTATGGTTAAAAATTTTTTTTAAATTAGAAATATTTGTACTTCTAAAAATTTATCACAAGCATTATGTTTTCTAATAGGTAAATCGATGCCTTTTTCAGTATTCTATATACTTATGATATGTCTAAAATCACTAACGTATTTATAAACAAAAATCACAAAAATATTTTGATTTTTCAAATGTTTATAATTCTGTAGAAAATGACAGTAAAATGTTCGTTAATAGGTCAAAAGATGCGTATTAAATGCCCATAGAGAATGCAAAAAACACTTTTAGGATTTAGGAGATATTCTAAAAAATAAAGACAAAAAACATTTTTTTAAAAATTGAAAATAGTTCAAATTTACAGTTATACTTCATAAAATGGGTTAAAATTTATTTCTGTCATAACTTACTAGGAGACAAAATTTTTGCCAACAAAAACTTTTTCTATAAGAAGGTAAAAAGCAAAAAAAAAATGTGTTTTCAAAAATTTTCGAATTTTTGAAAAATCAATAACTCTGGATGGAACTGAAGAAAAATGTTCGTTAATAGGTCAAAAGATGCGTATTAAATACTCCCTATAAAATGCAAAAAACACTTTTAGGATTTAGGAGATATTCTAAAAAATATTGACAAAAAATATTTTTTTAAAAATTGAAAATAGTTCAAATTTATAGTTATACTTCATAAAATGGGTTAAAATTTATTTTTTTCAAGTCTTACTAAGAGAAAAAATTGTTGCCAACAAAAACTTTTTCTATACGAAAGTAAAAAGCAAAAAACATGTGTTTTTAAAAATTTTCGAATTTTTGAAAAATCAATAATTCTGGATGGATCTGAAGAAAAATATTCGTTAATAGATCAAAAGATGCGTCTAAAATATTTCTACAAAATGCAAAAAACACTTTTAGGATTTAGGAGATATTTTAGAAAATATGGATAAAAAACATTTTTTTTAAATTGAAATTAGTTAAAATTTATAGAATTATACTTCATAAAATGGATTAAAAGTTTTGTTTTTTTATGTCTTACTAAGAGACAAAACTTTTTCTATAAGAAGGTATAAAGCAAAGAAAAAGTGTTTTAAAAAATTTTCGAATTTTTGAAAAATCAATAACTCTGGATGGAACTGAAGCAAAATGTTCGTTAGCAGGTCAACAGATGCATCTAAAAAAAACCTTTATAAAATGCAATAAAATTGCTTTTGTTTTTTAGGACATTTTCTAAAAAATGTAGTCAAAAAAATTTTTTGTTATTAAACAAAGTACTGATAATAAAATACAATTTTTCATCAGTATAATATTCCCTTTATGAGAAAGAAAAAAAAATTAAAAAACATTCATGCCTCAACATCTCGGCTCTTGGCGACTTCAGTAAAGTGTTCCTGATGCTCCAAAGTCTTGTCTTCCTTATCATCAGTCATGCAGAACACGCGGAGCCTTGCCTCTAATGGATGAATGCGTTTTGCAAACACTACGAATCTATAAGAAGACAAATAAATTTTATTACCGAAGAATGCAACATCGCATTCTTAAAAAAAAGTGCAAAATAAAAATAAGTAGAAAATGATGAAAAACACACTTGGCCATAAAAGGTACGTGGGTTGCGTGAGTGTAAAGATCTGTCGCCATTTTGCAAGCTTCAGTTATATTTCGGCAATCCATCAACCAGAAACGGGCCGAGACAGTTGTTGTGAAGGAGACGCAATCCTTAACGAAGGTCAATGGTGTCGACCCGGTCACATCTTCCCAGACTGCTCGAGACTGACCGCCTAAGCGACATACGTTGCAAGTCCAATAAAATTATTAAAATATGCCCGTGCTGTTAGTATTTAAATGGCAAAAACGTGAGATGTGTGAATAGATTTAGAAGCGCTGATTTTAAATACAGTAAATTATTTTTTGTCAATTAAAATTTTTACTTCTTTTATTTTTCATATTTAATTAAATTTGCCTTTTTGTTTCTAAACTGACAAAAAAAATACCACATGAATTCTTTTTTTAAATACTTACAGCATGTAATTATTTTACTACATAATTATTTCTATTTCTCTTCGGGACAAAAAATATTTGTTTATTTTATCCGAAAATTTTATTTTAAAGGAAAAAATAATACGTGAAAAATAAAAAAAAAGTTTTGTTTCAAGTGTGAGGAGATGTAAAGACTACGATAAGCTATAAAGTTAAAGAAGAAATAAATTTTAAAAGTCATTTTGCAAATATATATTTCAAGACTTCCTAAAAGCTTGATCAACTGTATTTAAAAGCAGACATTCGATGTGCTCTGTTGACACGTGCTTTCATATACGGAGATGTAAAAAAAATAATAGTGTGTTTGTCATTCGAATGATAATGCTTGCGAAATAATGAAAAAAAAGAAATGTATATAATGAAACACACAGAAGAATTGTATAAAAGCAACATGTGTGTAAAAAGACAATTAAAGCATTGAGAAGAAGAGTGAACTCTCAGAAGAATTTTAGGCATTTTTCTCGTTCTGAAATTTTCATATATAAAATTTCATTTTTAAAATAAAATAAATAACAAATAAAAAAATGATTGAAATTTTCTTTCTCGAAATTTCAATTCGACACGTGTAAAAATTATTCTCGTAACAATTCTAAACAACAAATTGTCTTACGTAGAAAATTTTTCGAATTTATATTCAAAAAATAAATAAGTAAATATTAGTTTTAGAGAAGAATGATAATTATTTTCACGATTGGAAAGTTTGCCTAGGTATATCAAAAGCGATTTACCATTCAATAACGAATGTGCTGTAACAAAAACTATCAAGTTTTAAAGAGCTAGAAATATAGTAAAAAATTTATTCTACTTGAATGTTTAATCCATACCTAAATGACTCAATCCTAACAAAACGCAAGCATTAACAGCGAATCACAACAAATAATGTATACAACGAATGATAATCAGCAAGATGTTTCTGTGAAATAGACAGCAACCACCTTCCTTAGGAATAATTTTATATGCGCTCACGCGGAATTATTTTTTTTTTTAGTCGTGATATGAAATACAATGAATCTTCATATTAACAGTCATTTTTCAATGAAAACTTTTATGTGCAACTTCATTTTCATAAAATATTTTTGCATTTTAAATTAGACAGAATAAGAGAGAGAGAAAGAGAGAACATCTTTAGTATTAATGCAACTCTGATCAATCAATCAACTTGGAATCCGTTTTTTCTTAAATGTGGGTGTGTGAGAAGACAAAGATGAAATATAGAGAAAGAGAATTGAATGGGTCAGTGATTACTGCGCCCACTATCTTTCTCAACGTTTATCTTCTTATAATTGATCGAAATCAAATTTGATTGCAGACCAGATTTGACCTTTGCTTCAGTCGATATGCTCCCATCTGATTTAATTGAAAATGCAGGTTTTGATTCCAAAGATAGAAAAAACTAATTTTAAAAATAATTGAATTATGTTGAGGAAAAAAAGTTTGATATTCTTAAAGCATTTTACAAAAGTTTCAAAAAAGAAATATATTTTGCTTAATTTTGAAAAAATTTATTTAACTGAATTTTAAGTCGAATTTATGTAGAAAAATTTAAGAAACAAAGAAATAACCATTCTATAGAAACGAAAATAAACATAAGAACTTAAAATTCAATTGAAAGTGGATTATTTCAAAAACTGATATTTCTAAAACTAATCAAATTTTACAAATAAGATCAGTTTTAAATAATAAAAATATTTCCTGTATTTTCGAGATATCATATGGAGGATTTTTAGCCGAATCAAGGATTGGGTAAAAATATAAAATAATTTTGTTCTTTAGAGTTCGCTGACACATCTAAAAGAACTATTCTTCTATTTTGAAATCCATTTCGAAACATTAAAAAATTCTTTTTTGTTCCCAAGTAATCCTACTTTGAATTTTTAAAAAATAATAAACATTTTTTGACTACATTTAAGAAGTAAAAAAACAGAATCTAATTATTTTTCAAAGAAAGTTCGTTGTAGTTTTAAATAGTACTATCATCACTTGTTAAAATTTAATTTGAAACATTAAAATATCTTTTTTTATTGCCAAAATATTCCACTCTGAATTTACAGCAAATAAAGCACAATTTTTAGCTACATTTAAAAAAATGAAAAAACAAGATTTAATTATGTATAAAAAATTATCTTTGTGGTTTCTAAAAGCACTATTTTAACTTATTGAAATCCATCTTGAAACGTTAAAAAATCTTATACTGTTCCCAAGCAATCCTACTTTGAATTTTTAAAAAATAATGAACAATTTTTTATTATATTCAAGAAGTGAAAAAACAAGATTTAATTTTTAATAAACAAAATATCTTTGTTGCTTCTAATAGCACTATTTTAACTTATTGAAATCCATCTTGAATCGTTAAAAAATCTTTTATTGTTCCCAAGAAATCCTACTTTGAATTTTTAAAAAATAATGAACAATTTTTTATTATATTCAAGAAGTGAAAAAACAAGATTTAATTTTGAATAAACAAAATATCTTTGTTGCTTCTAATAGCACTATTTTAACTTATTGAAATCCATCTTGAATCGTTAAAAAATCTTTAATTGTTCCCAAGAAATCCTACTTTGAATTTTTAAAAAATAATGAACAATTTTTTATTATATTCAAGAAGTGAAAAAACAAGATTTAATTTTGAATAAACAAAATATCTTTGTTGCTTCTAATAGCACTATTTTAACTTATTGAAATCCATCTTGAATCGTTAAAAAATCTTTTATTGTTCCCAAGAAATCCTACTTTGAATTTTTAAAAAATAATGAACAATTTTTTATTATATTCAAGAAGTGAAAAAACAAGATTTAATTTTTAATAAACAAAATATCTTTGTTGCTTCTAATAGCACTATTTTAACTTATTGAAATCCATCTTGAATCGTTAAAAAACCTTTTATTGTTCCCAAGAAATCCTACTTTGAATTTTTAAAAAATAATGAACAATTTTTTATTATATTCAAGAAGTAAAAAAACAAGATTTAATTTTGAATAAACAAAATATCTTTGTTGCTTCTAATAGCACTATTTTAACTTATTGAAATCCATCTTGAAACGTTTAAAAATCTTTTATTGTTCCCAAGAAATCCTACTTTGAATTTTTAAAAAATAATGAACAATTTTTTATTATATTCAAGAAGTAAAAAAACAAGATTTAATTATGTATAAAAAATTATCTTTGTGGTTTCTAAAAGCACTATTTTAACTTATTGAAATCCATCTTGAAACGTTAAAAAATCTTATACTGTTCCCAAGAAATCCTACTTTGAATTTTTAAAAAATAATGAACAATTTTTTATTATATTCAAGAAGTGAAAAAACAAGATTTAATTTTTAATAAACAAAATATCTTTGTTGCTTCTAATAGCACTATTTTAACTTATTGAAATCCATCTTGAATCGTTAAAAAATCTTTTATTGTTCCCAAGAAATCCTACTTTGAATTTTTAAAAAAAAATGAACAATTTTTTATTATATTCAAGAAGTAAAAAAACAAGATTTAATTTTGAATAAACAAAATATCTTTGTTGCTTCTAATAGCACTATTTTAACTTATTGCAATCCATCTTGAAACATTAAAAAATCTTTTATTGTTCCCAAGAAATCCTACTTTGAATTTTTAAAAAATAATAAACAAGTTTTTATTATATTCAAGAAGTGAAAAAACAAGATTTAATTATGTATAAAAAATTATCTTTGTGGTTTCTAAAAGCACTATTTTAACTTATTGAAATCCATCTTGAAACGTTAAAAAATCTTATACTGTTTCCAAGAAATCCTACTTTGAATTTTTAAAAAATAATGAACAATTTTTTATTATATTCAAGAAGTAAAAAAACAAGATTTAATTTTGAATAAACAAAATATCTTTGTTGCTTCTAATAGCACTATTTTAACTTATTGAAATCCATCTTGAAACGTTAAAAAATCTTTTATTGTTCCCAAGAAATCCTACTTTGAATTTTTAAAACATAATGAACAATTTGTTATTACATTCAAGAAGTGAAAAAACTAGATTTAATTTTTTTTTCGAAAAAGGTCGTTGTAGTTTTAAGTAGCATTATTATCACTTATTAAAATCTATTTTTAAATATTAAAAAATCTTTTTTAATTCCCAAAATATTTTACTTTGAATTTACAGCAAATAAAGCATAATTTTTAGCTACATTTAAAGAAGTGTAAAAACAAGATTTAATTATGTATAACAAAATTAACTTTTTGGTTTCTCATAGCACTATTTTAACTTATTGAAATCAATTTTAAAACATTAAAAAAGCTTTTTCTGTTTCCGAAAAATTTCACACTTACTTTTCAAAAATTAAATAGCACAATTTTTTCTATTTTTAAGCTTGAAAAAAATTGAAAAAAATGTTCTTCCTAAAACATCACATCTTCTAAATCTAATATTATTTCTCTTTAAAATACATTTCAAAAAATCATAGAAGCTCTTTTCCGTTTTGAGAAACTCTACTTTGAATTTTGAAAAAGTGAATTATGATGTTTGACGTTATTTACGATTTTGTAAAATGAAACGATAATTTTTTTGTTCACTTTATGTTAACACTGCTTCTGAACCTAGTATTTGCGTCGTTTAGATTATATTTTGAGAAATTGAAAAATCTCTATTCTTTCCCACGAAATCGTATTCGAGATTTCTAACAGTGTAACTAATGAGACAATTTTCAAAACGACAAGAATCTTAAAATGACACGTATTTCTAAAGACTCAACTAATGACAATATTTCTGGAATATGCTTTAGTTCATACCTGCAATTATAGACAAGCAAAACTTTTTGAAATCTCCTAGATTTACTCTCAATAGTATCAACTAATTACGATTAGTTATCAATTTAAAATTTCATTTTTAAAGTCAAAGAAAAATATTAAAACAATGGAAATGCTTTAAGAATTTATAAACTTATTAAATTTTCCATATTAGTGCACAACTTTTATGATTTACTCTACGAAATTCTTTTTAATATTTATATGGAATATTTGATATTTTAAAAATATTTTTTAATTAAATAATTTATCATTTTTTTACTACTAATTTATAAAATATTTTTGTTAATTAACTTCCGCCAGAAATGATGGATACGCCTTGTTATGAGCTTGTTTGAATTCTGTTGATTTGGATTATAGGAAGTTCGAAATGTTCATAATTGAAAAAGAAGAAGATTAAAATTAATAATGAAAATGTTGTGACAAATGAATTGAGGGTGAATATTTATAACGAGCGAATTAAATTAATTTTTAGTACAATTCAATTTCTAGAAACATATTAAATTTGAAAATTATTTCTCTGTGAAACGACGTTTCACATTATTTTACTATTCACAACTATACTTCTATGGAGGAAATAATACATAACCAAATTAAATTTTTCTTAATCTGTATGGGATATAAAATATGTAACAGAGCCTCAAATTATTAGAATTATAAAATCTTAATTAGTTTAAACCTCACACATTAATCAATAACAGGATTAAGCGATTTTCAGTTCTAAATCGTTTGTTAAGTTATTATTTAGTTATAAAATTGGAAAACGGATCAGAATTATAAAGTTTAGAAAACTATTCAACTTGATTAATTTTTGTTTTTGATTACTACTTTAGAATTAATTTTGTTTTCTAAAATCGCAAATCCATATTTATTAAAATGATTTTTTATCGTGAAGAGAATGTTTGCGTGTAATGATAAATTACCAGAGATACTGCATAGGAGCCTCAAGGTGGGCGCATCACCCGAGTATTGATTTATCATTCCTTTATTAGCTGCCTGAGGCACTGGTATTGTCAGAGTTATTGGTTTATGGAATTTTCTTCGTCTTGGTTCAACTGTGACAATTGGAGAAACTGCCACTCGATTACCTAAAAGTTTAGCCACCAGTTCGGCTGGTATTGGATGTGCCTAGATAAAAATAAATCTATTAGAATATTGACCTTAAATCCCAATAAATCATCATCTACAGACTATGATGAACGAAATGAAAAATATATCAACATACCAGTTAAAAGTGCATTGTACATTGTCGCATATAATTTCGGTGATAAAAAGAGTAATACGAAATGAATGAATTTAATGAAAGTGTTATATAATAAAAAATTGCTTTAAATACCTGGAGACCAACTCGGATTTTTTTGGTGAGTGCGTGTTTGGGAAACACGGCTTGCACTTGCGGTACGGCAGATGATGATAATGTGCCTCCTTCGGGACCAACTGCGTGGACTTCTTGTCTGATCCTCGATACCACAGCAAAATAGTGTGGGAAATCAACTGTGAGAATTCTTACGATTCGAGACGTTTGGAGATCTTCCAGCTGGCTTAATTCTGAAAAATTTGTTTTTTGTTTTAAAAATGGAATTTTTAAGTTTTCACTAACTCTTAAATACTTTAGACACTAAACAAAATAAACTTATTGTAATGGATGATGGCGACAAAAATAAAGGAAAACCAGAATAAAGAATTTGGTTGGGATGGAAAAACTGATTAGAGTGCATTCACCAGCGTCAGCTTAGGCGTGGTCTTAAGGAAGCGCGTATAGGAGAATCAGAGAAAAATGGAGAATGGGGATTAGGAAAAACTCCACATTGCCGAGATCAGTAGAAACTAGCATCCAACATTATTTCACCAAAAGGGATCTATTGGATTATTATTTCTTTCGAACCTAATAAGGTACAAGTACTTTTCCATCGTTCAACGTCTTGAGAATTATGACTTTTGTCAAATCTGAATTCGAATTATTTCGTGGTATGCCTGCAATTATGGCAGAGTCAACTGTTCCATTTGACCACATAGTGACAGGACGACTTTCTTGTTCCTGTCTACCAATTTCCGGGCTTTCTGTTTGCTCTGCGTGATTTCAACCGCTAAGAAAGTCGGAAATGGAAAAACACTTGTGATGCAAGAAAATTCACGTTTGTGAAGACTCCCACCCAAAAGAGATAGGTGCACAATGAAATGGAGAAGCAGTTAGTCGCCGTCATCCTGCCTCTGCAGCCTCAAGCTTCGACTCCGTCTGACTACCAGATAGAGAATGGTGATAATTTATGGTATATAGAGAATGGCAAATAATAAATCAATTTGATAACTCCGACAATGGTTGTCCACTGCCGAACATCATCGATATGTTGGGTCGCGATTTTCCTTGACCAAACATTATGTGCATCATGGATATTTGCGGTAGACCTCGTCGTGATGGAGGGACTTTTCACTAAACGTCAAGAAAAAACGAATTCTACAAATTCAGACAAAGTACCCCATGTGAACAGGCCGAAAACGGAAAACATCACCTTAAAACTGGTGCTTAAGTGCGCACGGATTGTGGGGGGAGATAACTTCTTGCAGTGACACGGATGATTGTGGAGAGGTTGGATCTACAGAACATCGTGGAAAAAGAAAAAATGAGAAGAGCAGTAGCTCCTCCAGTAGGAGGAGGCATCTTTGCTCGACAAAATGGAGTTGGAGGTCGCAAAGATAATGAACTCTTGCGACATGGAAAAGAATGTCAATAGGAGTGTTAGGGATGGTCTTAAAATCAAGTCCTGCTAAGTGAGGTGAAGGAGAAGCATGTTGTGGCCGATGAGTCGAACTACGATTTAGAATGCGTTCTAAGCGGTGTAGAGGTTAACCGCAAGAACCGTAAGGAGGAGAGAGAGCGCCACTATAATCGCAAACTCAAAAGCGTCTTTAGAGATGCTCAGAAACGGAGGAGATGGGGTGGAAGTCCAGAGGACACTCGAACCATAGCTGACCCGAGTCAGCCAAGGATTAACGTATGTTGATGTTCAGGGTAAACTTCACAAGGAGGTCAACCCAGAAGTCAGTAATACTAGACTAATAGTTGCAAGAGCTAAAAAGAAGGGGGACTTCCCATTCAAATCAAAGGAGATTCAAACAAGGAGGCTTACCAAAGCGGTTGGAAGCATGGGTAAGGTTCAGTCAATAGATTGAAGAGTTACGCTCGAGATCCGCGACCTGGATTGCCATACTCAAGAAACAGAGTTCCAACAGGTGTTTGCGGAAGTAATCGGGAGGCGAGCAAGCAGGAGGGTTAAGGTCTTAGGGCCCAATCTCAAAGAGATGAAGCTCGCTGTTGTAGTCATCAATCCAGAAGAAGCGGACAGGCTAGAGAAATTGGGACACGTAAAAAATGGTTTTATGTGTTGTCCAATAAAGAAAACTGCAATGTTTTTCCAGTGTCTTCAATGCCTAGGATACAGACATATTGGAACGAATTGCCAGAAGAAGGATAGATCGACTGCGTGCTTTAAGTGCGGTGAAGCCGGTCAGAAGTTCTCTGACTGTAAAAATATTCCTAGCTGCTTCTTATGTAAGGAGAAGTACGACGCCGCCCTTGAAGGCAAAAGTCTTACGATAGTTCCGAGAGTAGGTAAAGAGATCAAAGAAAGGGTTACGGATATTAGTAGGTCGGGGCTGATAGTAGGTCGCAAGCTATTGAAGTTAAAATATTTTTTTTCCTTTTATACCAACCCCATATAATCTTAGATTGTGGAATCCAAGGTATCTATAAGCAGATTTCCCAAAAGCCCCTATGCACAAAAGAAATCAATTTGATAAATCTTACCTTCTCCTTCAAAGCTCTCGTTGAGAACATCTTGGACAGCCTCCTCGCTGGCTTCCAAGGTGTGTTCACGCCAGGTTTCTCCATTGTCTGATCGTAGAATCACGATCTCCCTTTCTTTACCCCTTAATGAGGCAAAATGTGGTACCTCAATAATAACAGGTCTGTTACAAATACAAAACCACAGTATTAGATAATCAATAAAATACTTTGCACAACAAAACAAGATCTTTCCAAATAAAAACATTACCCCAAAAATTTAGCTCCTACTGGTCCAAGTTCAAGAATTCGGCTCGCTAGAGCTTCACCTTCCATTAAAGGTGGTGGATTCGTTAATTTATCCCTCCTCTTGAGATATCTACAGGTCACTCTCATAGGCATTGCCGCTTTACGAGGAGGAACAATAACTCGTACTCCACTATGTCGACAACCTCGCATCGCACCTCCACGCGCATCGACCAGAAACGAAACCAGAAAGCTGTTTTCAAAGATAAAAACATTTTTTACTCTCAACTAATAATTATTGTTCCAAATGTTAGCGAAACGAGTAACTTCTTACAGAAAGCATGGTGCTTAGATTGTCAATCGTTTGGCAACAAGTGCAAGAGTAATTCTCTATTTATTATTATATATGCGAATGAGGCAAGAAAAGATTAATTGAACTCTATATCAGATTCTAAGTTTAGTACATGAGACGTCTATTCAGACCGTACGACCAATTAAAACAAACAATTATCAAATCATTCAAGTTTACAAAACAATTCACTTCTGATCCATTTCAATTATACACTTGTGAGAGCATGCATTTTATTATGCAACAATTTTACATATTAAAAGTAATTTTTAATTCATTCCTTTAACAAAATTACTTTTAATAATTATACGTAGAGTCTGAATAGCGATAAATTTCTTTTAATAAACTGACTTGACAAAACAAAAATCGGTTGCAAAACTGTACAAATTTCTATGTATATATTATAAGGAGTAGGAGGACAAAACATACTCAATATTTTACAGAAACTGAAATGTTATATCAACCAATATATAATTAATATATTCTATAATATTGTATTCTACTTAAATACCACCGTTTATCAGTTTAGTATAGCACATTATAGCATAAGGCTAATTTTTTCGAAATTCGGTTATAATCGTCTAATTAGTGATCATTTACATACTATTGCACATACACAAGCAAAAGAAATTTTTAAAATTGTAATCTGACATTGTTAGTCAGAAATATATTAAATATTAAGGGAATAGTAGAAAATATATACACTTGATATTAAAGGGTTTATACATTGGATATTAAATATTAAGAGGGGTAGCATTAAATATAATTTACATTATGGTCATTAAATATAAAAACATGTATTTCGAATGTTAAAAATTAGATGATGTAAAGTAATAAGATTTATTTAACGATATACAGTATACCTTAGAAACGAATTGCTCTCGATTTACTTAAACCAGATGATATATTACATCGTTGATGAGAATTCAGTATTAAGAAATCTCAGTTAATCGTGATCTTATTTTTGAATTTACTGAATGAATTGCTTATGCTATAGATGACGTGAATGATCAGATGGCACGTTTTAATGATAAGCTCAATATAAAATACGAAGCAAACTTAAATTGTTGGAGGATAATTTAAACTAATTTATAATATGATAAAAACATCGCAAACAGTCTGCAGGCGTTCAGTGAATACATATCATCGCGAATATCCAATCGCTTGATCGATAATTTAAAAAAATTGATTTCAATAAATTCTGTAGTATGTAGTAAAATGTGAGTTATTATAGGAATATTCCTTTAGAATCTTTGCGTTATAAAAATGCAAATTACTTTGGTAATTATAGTTTACGTGTCAACTCCTTTTTTTTACTTTTATATCTTTCTTAGCACGAGGTTTTTCTCTCTCCTTTTTGCTATACAAGGGATGTTGAATTTAGACAAAGTTCTAGTTAGAGAGTATTAAAAAATGGGATAAGTTTGGTCTTCAACAGTGGAGTTTTTTAGTTTGTGGGAAAGTTCACAAAACTTAACCCTCTGCCTACGCTGACTTATCCCCACTCAAGCCCTTTTGAATGTAATTCCCATAGTCCCCAGTAGCCTATGGGTTAATCATAAAAACTGCGACCCAATATGGTCAAATGGTTCTATCAAATATTTTCCAAAAACTTTGGTGCATTTAAGTGATGGAACCATTGGGGTACCAAACCACGGTTTGTCAGATGAAGGTCTGTGTTATTTGGACAAAGGTCCAAATAAGAGAAATCCCACAATAGAATCAAGTCTGATTTGGGAATCTTCATTCCCAAATCTGTATTCTCTTTGCTAAATGAGTTGGGTTCGTTAATAAAACTTTCATTGATCTAGGCACCGAATCCCTCGGGGATTAAGGGAAATGAAAAAGCTGATTTCTTTACGGATACAGGATCCAAGAAGATAGGTCTAAAACCAAGCTTTGGAAAACGAAAGTGGAAAATCAAACATTTCCAATTCTCTATATAAGAATTGAATGAGAAAAAGACACTTCGTGCCATAAAATATAAAAATAGCAAAAAGTATAGACACTGGACTAGAAGAAACGAAAGAACAAAAAATAATCAGACAACAGACGGATTTTAAACAAAGAAAACGAAGTAGTCGAAAAATTAATTACTTCCCATCCTATTTTTGTACTCGATTAGGGGCCGAATTTAAAAGCTCCTTGCTTTTTATAATTACTAGTGCCAATTACATCCAATTCTAACATATATGTATTCACTATTTAAAAATCGGGTCTACATGAACTACAAGGGTAGGTAGTGCAGCCAAAAAAATAGTGAATGCGACGTAAAAAATTTGTATTATAGCAAAACAGAAAATTGGCTAGACTTAATGAAGAGTTCACTTACTTTTTCCATTGTGGAATTCTGCGAGTAGCGCAAATAAAAAAACAGAAAGGATCGGAAACAAAATAAAAACGCGTTAGTATTCATTCATCAATAAACGTGATTGTGAAAGATGATGGCAGATGAGAACGAGCTACTTTCTACTTCGCAGAGATTTCCCAAGTTTTCAATTGCTACGAGCACTCTTTGAATTTTTCATTTTTTTTTCGTTTTTCTCTATTGAAAAATGATTGTTTTAAGATCGAGAGCTTTAGAAATTTTGAAAACTTTGGACTTGTTTTGAAGGAAAAACCTACTTTTGTTTAAATAAAGTAGGTATAGCAATAATCATTATGTATTATAGTAGAAGTATTCATTTTTCTATATATGTATGGACTCCATTCACACTGTGCAATTTTTTTGGTAACACATTTACAAAAAAACATATACAATATTTAAGGCACTCAATTTACAAAGGACACAATATTAAAAATACAAATTTACATTATTTTATACATTCTGTGTACAGTGTTCCTAAAGATTTTAAATAACTGCCAAAAAAAAAAAATCAACGCAGAAAGTAAAATAAAATTCCTAATTTGAAAGTCTTCAAAATTTCGATGTTGCAAACAGATTGTAAGTAATAAAAATGGTGGATCCAAAATGGCGGTGGGATTGATAATAAGTATAGGTTAGGGTGGATCGAACCTTAAAGGCTATAACGGATTAAAGGTATAACGGATTAAAGGCCCGTTCATACGCGGTATATACAAAATTTCAGTTTCTCGCGCCATCTTCCTTAGGCGTCAGGAACTAAAATGTATTTATGAAACACTAGTTTATTAGGCTTGATTTTTCTGTCCCTCTTAAAAAATTCATTATTACAGAAAAATGTCATCAGTTTAATATTTTTTCCAAGTTAAATTTAGTACTAAATTGGAAAAGAATTAAATTTTATCGATCCACCTCAGGCTAAATTTACGCAGACAATAAAAATATGAGGGAGGATATCAGAAAAATACGTGTGTATCATAAAACAAAATTATCATAAAATTTCGTGTTGTGGAACTCGCATTAAAGTTGATATTAATTATTAATTTGCGCTACTAAAGAATTCTGATCTAAACAGCTGTTATGCTAATAAATTAAAATATTCTAACGCTATAGTTAAACGACTATACAATTTATCGAAACTATATATATATTTACAAAGAATGCGGATAGTAAATGGTTATTTTTGAAACTGCATGTCAGCGTATTTAATGTTCTATAGCCAATTTGTTATTATTTTTTAATCGTTAATGTTGAGATGATGGGATTTTTTTTTAGTCAATTATAAGTAATTAGATTATAAATTCTATAGTATTATCTCATACAGTAAGAAATTGAAAGAAAAACATTTTCCGTTAACAAAACAATAGTTTTTTTTTTTGCTACAAATTTTTTTTTACTTTGCTGCTTTTAATAAATTATTTATTTTAAGAAATAATTTAGTAATACTTTTACGGCTTTTATTTTTTCACTAATTTTTTAGTAGTACTTTCAAGATTTGTATTTTGCAAATTTTTTCGTTTTAAATATTTATAACTTATCTTTTAGTTTAATTTTTATTATTTACATTATATTATTGATATCAACAGTAGAATGTTATTAGTAATTTTTTTTTACAAAACTTTTTATAATTCTTATCAAGAAGATAGTGATATTCTATGCAATCGTAGTTAAAAGAGACGCCCACTTCTTTTCGTTGGCTACAATTTCAAGGTCACGAATCAGCCAATAGAATAAACGGAAGCGCCGTGCGAGGCGCCGTGTATAATATAACTCGTTCAAGCATGAAATAAGTGATGCAACTAAAATCATCTTACTTTAACAAGATAACAAATTTTCACTACTAAACCGTTTTTTACAATAATTTACAGAAATTATAAAGAATTTATTTATTATAAAATGAAATTTGCAGCAAAAATATAATATTATTTTGTCAACAGATCAACAATTTCTGTTTGAAATATTAAAAATAAAAAAAGAGAACATATATTTATTTCTAGATTTCTAAATAAACTTTCACTCCTTTCAGAGTGAAAAATGAGCGACAAATTGTAATAAAAACAGAATAGAAAATTAGCGGAAAAAAATAAACATAATTTTTGTTTTTTTAAATATTTTTCTAATTTTAAATATCACTCCAAGTGGATTGAAAAATTGTACTTCCAGTAGGAGTAGCTTTCCATCCACTGGAGTAAAATATTGAAATTTAATTAAAAATTCAATTTTTTAATAGTAGAGAAATTTTATAGTGTTTTAATTTCTACTGAAGAAAATAGAATTGTTATTTTTTCTTTCAACGAGCATTTTGTTAAACAAGAACAAAATTATTTACAGAGTTCTGCATAAGATTTTTGAAAGATAATAAAAATTAATTTTTTTACTTATTTATTTTTTTTGAAAAAGAATTTGAAAAATATAATAAAAAGGGCATAGTGTACCTGTCCCTCCACATTCCTTGTCCTTTTGGCACGAAACCGAGGGCAGCCAGCGATGTATTTAAGGACTCTAGTGACGCGCTAATCTCAGAACAAAACTGCGTGTGATTATCGAAAAATAGCTCTAAACCGTGCTCATGCTTTTTTTTTTGTTTTCGTGCAGTTCAAAATAAATATAAATTATGTTATTCTTTTTTCTCTCTAAAAAATAAAACGCTGTGTAGTGCGCTACTTTGAAAAAAATACTGGTGAGATTATAAAAATTGTGAAAAAAGGCAAAATATAGAAATGAGATGTGATTGCAAAAATAAAAAAAAATTTTTTTATTATATTCATTAAATTCCTGGCAAGAAAAATAAAAATAATTTTTACCTGAATATAATTGCTTTCTAAATATAAGAATATTATTGATTTATGTCTCACGTCATCAATTATTACTGAGTTGATTTATTATCGATTTGAACTTCATTGTTCGTTTCGTTTTTTTTTTAGTTTTTTTACATTTTACTCAGTGTGACATAATCGTGAAATAAATTTATGAAAACATATTTATTACACTTGGAGATTTTTATTTTGAACCAATGTTCATTGTAAAGAGAAATAATAACGTTAATACTTTTCGTTGGAAGAAAAATTTGATTTTTATCTAAAATTAATATTATTGTTGAAGTCAAATCAATGAATCAACCTTCATATTTATGACTTCCTGTAATTAAAACTTATTTTGTTCTGTAGAAAACTTTAATTATCATTTTCGGATAAAATAAATTATTATAGTTGCATAATTTTTTGTGAATCATAATTATTATCATGGCAAAATTAATTAATTTCTTTTTGTAAATCTTAAAATTTTGGATAGAAACAAAGATTTTTTTAAAATTTCAAATTATTTTTTCTTTAATATAAAATATCTTTTAATTTCTATATAATGTAATTTATTTAAATAAAAAATTTTCTGCTTTCAATTTTTTTTTTCAAGATTTGAATGTATCAAAAGTATAAAAATATCAAGTGGAGTATTTACGTAGAATTTCTAGCAGACTTTTTTCGTTGAAATAAATATACTCAGAAAATAATCAGAGGTCTAGGGGAGGACTCAAGTTTAAAAAAAGAATTTACGCATTTTATTTATGATATCTGAATCTTTAAATGATTTTAAAAAAAAGTAACGCACTTTAGAGGACATGTTTCGTTTTTCATTCAGAAAATGCTAATGATCCTAGACCAGGAAATAATTTTCGGAGAAAAAAAAATTTACTTTTTTTCGCTCTCTCAGCATTCATACTCTTCGAAAAATATAATTAACTTCAACGTTTATTAATAAAAGTGCTATTTAAATCAATATACCTTAGAAATTTGTGAATATTGTAAATCGTAGTGTTTAGTGCCAAAAAAAGTACAAAGTCTAATTCTAATTTTCTTTATATACAAAATTCTAAAAATATCGTAATATACGCAACGTGACGACAGTTTCTTTCATAACATGAAATCGTAAAATTCTTTTTAAAGAATTTTCTGATTAAAAAATTAATTTTTACATTTAAATTAATTATATTATTTTTTTAATTAATTATTTTTTGTATTTAATTTTACATAAAAACATTTTTTATTAATTAGTATATTTTAATTAAATTAATTATTATTTTGTAATCAAATTAATTTTTATTATTATTTAAAAAAGTAACAAATTAATTAATAATATTTATAATTAATAACAGTAATTAATAATTAATAAGCAAGGACAATAATTAACTACAATTATGTTAAAATAATTTGTAGTTAATTAATTATAACAGTTACAATCAAGTCACAAGTTACAAGTTAATTTATTGATTAATTTACTAATCATTAAATTTTTAATTATTAATTAATTATTAATTATTATTTAAAATTATTAATTATTAATTGCTTATTACCTTATTAATAAATTAATAATTAATTTACTTATATCACTTTATTAATTAACTTCCTAAATCACATAATTAATTTGATTATTAATTTATACAGCAAATTCAATTAATCATTACCTAATAAATCATTATTTTCCAATTATTAATATTCCATAATCCTGTTAGGCAAGAAAATCTGTCCCAAATATTAAGAAATTAGTGCATCAGCATATACTTCTGATTTAATAACAACCTTTTAATTTTCAGTGCAAAAAGTGAATAAAAAAAACTTTTTCGGAAAAAATTAATTTTTGGAAAAAAAATTTTTTTTATGTTTAGGAAGAAGAATTCGTAGATTGTAGAAAAGTTTTTTGTGCAAATATGCTCGCATAATAGAAAACTTTTTTCTGTTTTTATACAAAGATTTTGAAAACTTCAAAATTCATGCCAATTTCTACGCAAGACGCATTCAATAATAAAGTGAGAATAATTAGGAAAAAAAAAGTTTTCCATTTTTATTTTGTATAGGAGTTAATATAATACAGAAAATAAACCAAAAAACCAGTAGAAGAGAATTTGTAGGAAAAAAAATTTTTTTTCCACATCTTGTTAATAAATAAACAAAGAAAGACCCATGGTTACATCTAAAAGATAATTGATTACAATATTGTTATTAGTTGTTAAAAATTACCAGGCAATCTTTCACCAACGCACACCATAATATCTTTACTATAATACACAATATATTATTGTTTTAATACAAGCTAATAATGATATATTTACAATAAAAATTAATTTCAATTTAATCGTAGATATTTTTTTTTCAAATAGATAATCACACAATAACAGTGCCACGATGCAATACACTATAAAGCATTTACGATTTTAAATTTCTATATATATATGTATATATTTATAGCAGAGAATTTTTAAATATTTTTTTCAAATTGTTTCAGATCAATATTCACTTTTAGAAGATAGAAGAATGCTTTTATTGGTCTTTTATCAAAAATTGACTGTATTATTAAGTTTCTTTTTTTTTGGTAAATAAACTAAACAAAAACTAATTTTTTCGAAAGATAATAGTAATTTTTTTGTTTTTGTAATGAAGATATATGTAGGTGCATCCTTCACTTCTTAAGAAGTGCTTAGAAGTTCACTTTTCATTTAAAATTTGGTGCGAAAAATCGCAAAAGTAGAATGAAAAAAGGTAATACTTTGAGGTGCATCCATCTAGATGCCCCAGTTATCGCTAAAGAAATTACAAAAACAATGTAATTCATTCAGGTGCACCTCTGAAAACGAGAGATTTTCATCCTTCTTCTAGAATCAAAAAAAAAAAAATACTTCCTTACTGAAGAAATTACAAAAATAATGGAATTCATTTAGGAGCACCTATGAAAACGAGAGATTTTCATTCTTTTTCCAGAATCAACAAAAAAACTGCTTCCTTGCAGAAGAAATTATTTTGGTGCACCTCTGAAGAAGAGAGATTTTCATCCTTCTTCTAGAATCAACAAATAAAAACTAATTCCTTGCAGAAAAAATTGTTCGGGTGCATCTTTAAATTTCATCCTTCTTCTAGAATCAACAAGAAAAACTACTTTCTTGCAGAAGAAATTAAAAAAAGAGTGAAAACAAAGGAATTCATTAAGGTGCACCTCTGAAGACGAGAGATTACAAAGAAGCCTGAATAATTTAAAAGTAAAAAAATATTAAAAATAGAAAAAGAGATGCACCTCAAAAGAAATACTATCCACAGCAGTACTTTCTTTTTTTTGTATAAATTATTTATTTACCAAAAAAAACAAATATTTCTTATTTTTGCCACAGAAATTATTGAAATAAATAGACAGTCAATTTTTCAAGACACAAGATAAACATTTACTCAATGGAACAAAAGGTTTTTGCTTTACAAGGTATTTAATATACGATTATTTATTATTATTATACTGTTTAAAGAGATATTTTAAAATTGAGAAATCACATTGATCAAACGCACACGAAATCTTTTTCTATATAATCTATATAAATGTACTTCACTCTTGTCATATCGTTTCACAACGAATTGAGCATTTCAAAGTAAAAAAAAAACATATTTTGTTTATTTGCAAAAAATAAATTGTACATACCCAACGTGAACGGGATGCCTGTTGATGTCAATATTGTCTGGTTTTAAATTTGCAGCGTGCATACGATTATAATTTTCTTTGGTGATCATCTCTGTAATTATTCGATCTAAAAAAATTAATTTTTTCCTGTAGATTCCAATTAATGTTGGAGGTGCCTCACAGTGGCGAAAAATATACTTTTTCGTTTCAAATCACTCTAAAGGTCACAATTTTTTACCAAAAACGATTTTTCTTTTTTCTAAATCATCGTAATTAAATTTTCTATCGATCTCTCAAGCCTGATTTTTAAATTTTTGTTTTTAAAAATTTGTTTAATAATTCAATAAGTATTAAAAAAATCATAAAATCGTAAAAAAATTTTTTTTAGCTTCATTAATTAGGAAAATTAATCACAAAATCTATTAAAATAAGGTTTGAGTATTTTTTTGATGCATGAAAAAAAGTATAACAATTTATTAAATTGTTTAAACAATTAATTGTTGTTATTTTTGTTATAAACTGTAATTAGGGCTAGAAATATCTAGTTTTTTCTCAATTGTGAAATTGGTCATGAGTTTGTCATAAATTTGTCATCTACTAATGATAAAAAAATAACTTAATTAAACATTGTTTAAACAATTAATTGTTCTTATTTTTTTATAAACTTTACTTAAGACAAGAAATTTCTAGTTTTTTCTCAATTGTACCATTTTTCAGAAGAAAAATATCTACTAATGATAAAAAATAAAAAATTATTTATTTATTAAATTGTTTTAACAATTAATTGTTGTCATTTTTTTATAATTTCTAGTTTTTTCTAAATTGTCCAATTTTTCATTAGTAAAAGTTTATAAAAAAAATAATAGCAATTAATTATATTAAAGTCTTATTTTGTTTGATAAAAATCCATATATTTTATTTTTGTAATTATTTATTTAGCTTTCGCCCATTTTAAACAATTAATTGTTTAAACAATGTTTAATTTATTTATTTCTTATCATTAGTAGATTAATTAATTGTTGTTATTTTTTTGTATCTGATGACAAATTGCACAATTGAAAAAAAATATAAGTTTATAGCCTTAAGTACAGTTTATAAAAAAAATAACAACATTTAATTGTTTAAACAATGTTTAATTAATTTTTTTTATCATTAGTAGATGTTTTACTTATGACAAATTTCACAATTGAGAAAAAACTAGAAATTTCTAGCCCTAATTACAGTTTATAACAAAAATAACAACAATTAATTGTTTAAACAATTTAATAAATTGTTATACTTTTTTGATAAATCAGAAACACTTAAACATTATTTTAATAGGTTTTTTGATTAACTTTCCTAATTAATGAGACTAATAAAAAATATTTTTTACGACTTTTTTAATACTTATTGTTATTAAAAAAATGTTAAAAATCAAAAATTCAAAAATTGGGCTCTAGAGAACGATAGAGAATTTAATTACGAAGATTTAGAAAAAGAGAAAAATCATTTTGGTCAAAAATTGTGACCTGTAGAGTGATTTGAAACAAAAATTCAGAAGAATTATAATAACACAGGTTAGCAAGGTTTTTAATAATTCAAAATGGCGGATCCAATATGGCGGACGAAAATATTAAAAATTTAACGGATTCGCTTGAAACTTATTGCTCGGGGGTTTTTGGGGTTGCTGATTACGAATTTGAACTCAGATTTTTAAAATTAAAAATAATGGATCTAATGTGACGGACAAAAATTAAAAATAAAACGGATTTGCTTGAAATTTATTACACGAGTGTTTTTTGGCTTTCTAATTTTCAGTAAATTGTTGCAAATGGTTTTTTTATTTTTATTTTAATATTTTTTCCGCCATTTTGGATCCGCCATTTTGAAATTTGACGTTTTAGAGAAAATCTAAGTACAGATTCGAAAAAAATTCCTTTAAAAAGTTCTTACTTTCCTGGGTCCAAAAGTTGACCCAAATTAATAAAAATAAATATATAATTTATAAAAGAAAATTATTTAGAATAAAAGAAAATATTTCTCACCACCAGAATGTCGATTATCCCTCTCATCGTCAGTGACGTTGACACGCATGGAATCATCTCCCATTGATTTCATATCATCACCGGTCATATAACGATACTGTTGCTGATCGCTGAGCATCGGATCTTCGCCTACGAAATTAATTTTCTCATCAAAACTTATTCAAATCATTTAAATGCAAAAAAATAAATTGGAAAATTTCAGTTTGCAAAAAAAAATATGTTGATGTACGGAAAAATAAAATTAAGGTCAAAAAAATTAATTTGTAATGATACTGTCAATGATGCCATTGTGTACATAAGCAAAATTAACACAGTCTTATTATATTCACGAGAGAGAGTGAGATATATGTTGAAATTCTATCTCTGGAAAAAAATGTAGGTGCTTTATTTTCTTTGTGCGGGAAATTATAATCGTTGCCTGTTTTTGCAGTCAACTGGAATAATTAAATTTACATTTGCTCTTCTTTTTCTGTCCGAAATAGAAATTCTCTCTTCAAAACTCAGTTCGAGAGCTTTTATTATTGATATTACATTTTATATCAAATATTTTTGGATTTTATCTCTTCTTCAAGGACCGTCGTCTTCCCAAAAAAAACCAGACTTGCAACACTATTATTATCTCCAAAAAAAAATAAGATCAAACACTTTGATTTAAAATGTAAAATTACTTTTGAAGATGAAATGCGAATTCGTTAGAAGAGATTTTTCACTTTTTAACACAACGGAAATAGTCTAAGATTGAATTCACAAATTATTTTTGGTTGCATTTCAATTGTGGAGCAATTTAGAAAATTGCTGCTAACGATTTGTAAAATACGTCAAAGTGTCGTTCATCTTTAGAGTTTATGAGACTTGTACTCGGTTTTTGCTGTAACTGACACTGAGACCGATTCCTAGTGTATAATAATAGATATTTCAGGAATGTAACTCATAATTATCCACTTGGTTAACAGCTCACAAATTCAACCTACGCCCACTCGTGTCAACGCACCAAATAGGGCTTTAATTTGTCACGCTTCTTTTACCTCATTTCACATGTGAAAATCCCGATGAAACTATTTTCTTTTTAAATCCTCAATTTTTCCTCTCATTTTTCTTTGACAATTTTTTAAATTCACTCTCAATCTGCAAACAAATTTCTTTAAAAATCTCCCAAATGAGAAACTCCACATGAACTGATCCAATCAAAAAATTATTCTATATTCAAAATAATTTCTACAAAATTATTTACAGATTTTAATTTTATATAAAGAATTTTAAAGCATTTTTTATGTACTTTTCAATTCCAAAAATCTTTTTTTAGAAGAACATTTTTTTACCCCTATTTTTTCAAAAATAAACCTTATTTTTTAATTTTCACAAATATTACATTTTTATTTTATTATTAATTTTCTTCGATAAGCTGAGACTTTTTCCAACAAAAAATTAAATGGTAAATTAATTAATAAAGTAAATTTTGAAAAAGAAACAACAACAAGTTTCCAAGAAAATGAAAAAAAAATTTTTTAATTGTTTTTTTATTATCTTGAAAATATATTACACTGACAAAAAAATTTATTTAATTCAAATAACCAATTATTTTTCAATTATGAAATAAATATTTACTTTGATAATAGACAAGTAGTCAGTTATTTAAATCAAATAAATTTTTTTTCTGTATGTCGTCCCATTTTCAAACATTACATAACTTACTGGAAAAAATCTCAATCCAATGAAACTGACAAAAAAATTAAAAAATGTAGTAAAAGTTACTATTTGCTTTTTGTTTCGTAACTTTTTAAATAATTTATCTTTCCAAAAAATTTTGTATTTTTTAATATTAATGTAATGAAAACATCCAATTTTTGCAAAGACTTTTATTAAAAGATTTGATAATAATAGAATTTCTTTAAAGAATTTTATTATTTAGGAAAATAATTGAACTCTTACATTTTTTTAACGAATTGAATTGTTTTGAAGAATTTCTTTTAATTTTTTTAAAATAATGGAATTTTTAATAGTTTTAATTGCAAATTTTCAAAAGTAATTTAATATTATGAAGAATTTCTTTCAATTTTTTAAAGTCATCGTGCTTGTGAATTGTAATTAAACATTTGAATTTTATTCCAATTTTTGAAAATAACTGAATTCTTTCGAGAAATTTCTGAAAATAATTGAATTTAAGTAAAGAAATTTACTATTCATACAAAAATAATTGAAGTCAAAAAAAAAAAAACAATTTATCAAAACTTTTGAGAATAATTAAATTCTTCAGAAAAATTTTATTACAATTTTTAAAAATAATTGAATTTTTTCGTGAAATTTTATTAAAATTATATTAAGAATAAGTATTTATAAAAATAATTGAATTCTTACGAAGAATTTTATTATCTTTGCGAAAATAATTGAATTCTTATAAAACAATAAATTTATCAAAACTTGAATTCTTGTGAAGAATTGTATTATTTATAAAAATAATTTAACTCTGAAGAAGAATTAAAAAAAATTTTTTGAAAATAATTAAATTGTTTCGAAGAATTTCTTTAAAATTTTAGAAAATAACTGAATTTTTTCAAAAAAGTTTTTAAATATAATTTATTGAATTCTTTCGTGAAATTTTATTAAAATTGTATTCAAAATAATTATTTACAAAAATATAATTGAATTCTTCTGAAAAATTTTGTTATAAGTATGAAATGTAATTGAATTCTTGCGAAGAGTTTTATTAAAATTTTTGAAAATAATAATTAATTATGTAGGTACTAAATAAGTAGAATTATTCAATTTTGAATTTTAAATTTTCGAAAAATTGAGGTTGATATTTAAAAATAAAAATTTTTGTAATTTGCACAATAATAATAAGAGATTGAATGTCGCGTTTTGAGATTTAATTATTGAAAAATAAGGATTATTGTCTAAGAATGGGGTTAAAGTTTTTTTTTAATCAAAATTTGCAAAATTGAAATATACACAACAAATGCTTTTAAAATTCACTATATTCAAGTTTTAAAAATTAAAATCTGTCAAGTTTTGTTAAAATCACACTGATTTAAAAATAACTGTGCAATAACAAGGTAACTATGCAATTCCCATAATTTACACATTTTAAAAAAAGTTAATATTTATGGATTTTTTAAATTTTATATAGAACAATTTAGCAGAGTTCCAAGTAATTTGCTAAAAATTAAAATTTTTACTTCACCATTTAAAGTAAAAATGCTCAAATCGCGATAAGGAAAGATGAATTTTTTCTTTTAAAAATGCAAAAGTTATGGAATTAACACCTTGATGATGGAATTTATTATGAAATAGCAAAATTCTCGCAAATGAAGAAAATAATGGAGTTCTTTGTTGACAATATTTTATTGCGGTTACTTTGGACGCACTTGAAAGCGTTTCTGTTATTATGAAAGGCTTCTATTTCTGAAGGGCGCAGACACCATAAGCTTCAAAAAGGAGTGATGTGTGCCTCTGAACAAGTAATTAATCAAATCCGATAACTGAATTAAGTTAAGCTAATGTATATACGTCAGAAACGAAAATAGTTCATGACCACGGTAAAATTTATATTACTCCGTTCAGCTTGACCCAGTTATAAATGATAGCATTACTAAATTTCACGCTTGTCGAATTTTCCCCCTGGTGTGCGATCGTTAAAATTCATACGAAAAATTTTCAAAATTTTATATTTGCAGATGAAAATAATAATAAATGTTTAAATGCATATCACAAAAATAGCGATTCATACGAAAACAAAAATTTCCATTTTCCAAAGTACTTTATTACAAAAGTCATCATAAAATTTAAAGTAGATTTTTACAAAAAAAATTTTAAAATTTAAAAAAGCACTTTTTCTCTTCTACTTTGTTCGGTAAATTTTATCATAAATTTCCTTCGAACTATTATAATTATTATTATTTATTTTTTTATTACTACTATTATTTTTATTATTATTAAAATTTATAATTATTATTGTCTGGATATGAACCACAACCAGGTCACCAATCTAGACATAGATTAAAACCAGATCACCAATCTATAGTTGCTTTGAAACCAGACCACTAATCTAGACTTAGATTGAAACTAGATCACTCTACACCCAGAGAAAATTTTATTTAAACCAAATATAATTTATTTTGATTAAATAAAAGTATATTTGTCTCAAAGCCTACTGAATTGTTTATTAGTTTTAAATAGGTACAAATTTTCTTCGACACAGATAAAATTTTCATTTGACAATTTTATTTAAACCAAATAAAATTTATTTGAAATATATAAGAAGACCAGTTGGCTTTGAGTGAAATATAACTATTTTCTGGATAAAGAGGTAGCGTATATCTAGATTATTATTCTAGACCCAGATTAAAACTAGATTACGAATCTAGAACTTGTTTGCAACCAGCTTAATAATCTAGACCTGGATTGAAACTAAATCATAGATCTAGAGCTGAATTTTAATCAGATTGCTAATCTAGATCTAGATTGAAACTAGATCATCTATCTAGTGCTGTATTGAAACCAGATTACTAATCTAGATCTAGATTGAAACTAGATCATCAATCCAGACTTACTTTAGGATTAGATCATCAATCTAGAGCTCATTTGGAATTAGAAAATATATATTTAAACCTAGTTTTGAATTTGATCATTAATCTAGAGATGCATTGAAACTAGATCAGAAATCTATATTTACGTTGTAACACAATCTAGACCTGGAATAGTGACTAGATCATTAATTGAAACTATATAATGAATCCAGACCTAAAATTTTAACTAAATCATTAATCTAGATCTTAATTTGTAAGCAGATCATCTGACTAGAATATTATTCAATATTTAGATTGAAATTAAATAATTAATCTGAACGGAGATTAGGACTAGAACACAAATGTAGACTTGTAGTCTTGAGTTGAAACTAGATGTCTAATCTAGACCTAGAATGAAGCTATATAATTAATCTAAACCTAATTTGTGACTAAATCACCAAACTAGACCTAAATTTGTAACTAGATCATCAATTTAGAACCAGTTTTGAAATGAGATCACCATTGTCAACCTAGATTACAACTTAATTATCAATGTAATTAGGTTTCAACTAGAACATAAAATATAGATTTTTATTAGAACTAGTCAGTAAAATCTAGAACTCA